AATACTACTTTAGACTCAAGTAGTGCAGTTATTGATTACAGCACTTGTCTTTCTTTGGCTCATTTACCCGTCTACTAATTTAATTCTCGGAAATGGCGAATTCGCCGTTATACATGTCTGGGTCGAGTCGATGGTTAATGGAGATTTCACATGATCTTGAAAAAAAAAGATATGCATATTCCTAATCATTCCATTCTAGTCATCAGGCAAACCAACTTTTAAATTTTCAATGAGGAGGGCAAAAGTATAAAAATAGTTGAAAATATTTAAAATGCACTGGAGTTACATTCAAAATGTTTAATTATTTTTTTGAGAAAATCTCGTCGAGATTTTGTCGACTGACAGTACATTCAAAACATTATTTCTACTGTAAAAAATGTACCATGGTGGAATAAATATTGGATTTTTCTTCTTTCAAAAACTCTCTTCTTTTGGATGACTAAATATATTGAATGAATCTTGCTACATCAACAAACTCTGAGAAAAAATATCAGAAAAATGTATGATAGTGGTACCTGAAGCAGACTGGTAAACAAATAAATCAATTTTTTTTGAAAGTTAGTCTTCTATAAGCATAATATAAGTTTCACAAGAGCCTTACATCTTCAGTCCATACTTATAAACTTTATACGCTTGCCGTATGGAAGCAAAGGCCAAGAAAACCTAGAGAGAGAGAATTTCATACGCTTGTCTGGATCATACTGTATGTTATCCTGTTTTCGAAACTATTTGTTTCGTGTTGAGATTGCAATAGAGGCTTAGGATTGCACAGTTACCGAGAAGTGCATTTGGGAATCCTACTCTTTTTGTGGTATCATAGACATAGACTTCTAAAAGAACTACAATATAAGACAAAAATATTGAGAAAGAAAGTTTTTGGCCTTCTACTTCTCCATCTTGATACAAAAAATGTGGGAATCTTCCAAAGAAAGGAAGCAATTCATTTCAAAAATTTATACAAAGATGTGTAGATAATAGAAAGAAGTAACTTTCAGATACAAACTGAAAGAAGAGGCTCTTCCGAAACAGCTATTTTCATATGAACATTGAATTACACGAAAGAAAAATACTATCGAAACAAGTACTTTTATATGAACGCTGAATTATACGAAAAACCCTTTTCTCTTTTCCGTTTGTATTACATTCGTATGGAATCCAATCAGATATCATTCACAATATGGATTCAATCCATTCCGTGAAAAAAAGTCGTAATTATGAACTGATTGAGTGTTTTTTCTTACACATTATCCGTATTTATATGATGGAATCGGCCGATACTTGATGAAAATCCATAACTAACGTATTCCAAAAACACTTTATTGTGAGATTTTCACTAAATTGTTTTACAAAAACGCAACACGTGTTTCGCCATACAATGGCTTCATCTGGCGTGTCTTTCAACTCTTGAAATCTGCATCGTCGTCTTCTGGCTGCTGGTAAATTTCAAACTGGTCTTCATTATCGTCTTCAACGACATTTGTCTCAAGTTCTTCCATAATTTTGGGGTCAAAGGTCCCATCTTCGTTAATGTCGCTCTGATATGGTAGAGCATTGAGACAAGCTTGGCCATTACATTGGCCACAAGCTAAAGAGCATTGCAAGCCTGCTTTCCTGCATCCGCATCGCGAACCACAACCACTCTTGCAGTTGCAGAAAATTGTATTTAGCAAATCTTCTGGAGCAGGTGGTAAAATTGTCATGATAGGCTCCAGAAAATCGTTTCGCATTGCCCAACCCCATACCTGGAGTTCCAAATCATGTCATAACCAAGTTTGAACTTGATAATATACACGGTTAAAATGTTGATGAGCAGCTGCACTTGTTGGTGGAATATTTGAAAGCTGCACAGGTTTATTAAGTTTTGTAGACTTGACGTAATGCATATAACGAAGATAATCGAGACTTTTCACAGATTTCGGAGCATTATAGACTGCCAATAAGGTTTGAGTTCCACTCTGTAATAATCTCTGGGCCGAACAATTTTCTTCCTCAAATGCTGCAGCTAGTTCATCCAAATTTGTCAGTTTCTCAAAAACTTTTAAAAATGATTTTTTTCCCTTTTTAAAAAGCGCAGAAGTTGTGTCACAGCCACTTAATGCGTGCAGAAATAAAATATGTTTTTTAGAATGAGGATAATTATCAAAACTTTTAGTCGAGTATATCTCCGTTTTTACATTACCTTACCCAACTTTTTTAAAGAAAATTTCTTGTTCGTAAGACAGTCCCAATTAAAATGACAAGTAAATCAATATCTTGTCCTATTATAACTGCAGTTTTTTTAGACTTTGATTCTTCAATTGCAGTTTCAACAATAAGAACATCCGCATCATCTCTGGCTTGTTTAGTAGTAATATTTGCAGATTGTAATTTTTCAATCAACATATTAATGAACTTATCTTTGTTATTTCGATTTGATAAGAATTTTTCTTGAGTAACTGGTACAACCATTGTTTCATCGAAACAAACTTCATACGTTTTTGAAAGTGCAGCAGGTCTTCTCTGCTGCTCCATAGCTTTTACGTTCTTACTGTAGTCTGAATATCCGTCAAATACAACAATTATTTTGGAACTGTAATGCCTTTATAAATAATTCATGTATTTATCAAAAATAATAGAAAAAGCATCTTCTCTGCTCCATACAACATGATGAAGAAGAAATCCGCCATCAATAATGAACGTCTCATTATTTTCATTGAGAACAAAATCAATTGGGCTCATGTTGTCATACAATGACGATTTTGTTGTTTTTCTCATGCCATCATTATAAAATAGAGCTGTTGGATACGGACTCAATTCATATTGAAGATATTCTTCAAGATTACTTTCAAATTGTTTGCTGACAGTAATTCTTTGGAAGAGTAATAATGGATCCACTGCAACTTTACAATCATTTATTTTTACAGATTTGTTAACACTGGAAAGCGGCATTACTTTTTCGGAGCGTTTAAACTTTAATGATAAGTCGGTGATCTTCTTCATAGACTCTAATCCAATTTCGTAAGCTCCGGTTGACCTGAAGTGATGCTGTGACCGCGTGCTCTCCGCCCTCTATCTCGAAAACGGTTCACCGTATAAAAATTTTTTTTAAACAAAATTTGTAGAGAATTTTGTATTCTACAATATTGATAATAAATACAAATAGCAAAAAACCCATAGGAAATGAGATATTTAAAAAAAAACGCAAAAAACCGATTTTTGTGACCTTTGACCTTGAAATTCAATAGTTGCTTACACCCTACCATATGTAGGTTTTGAGACAACTTTTAGGGTGTCAATATACAAGTATTTACAGACTTACAGCTGGGTATCTCGAATTCCGAGATTCTTACCTAATTTAAGCTTAAATGACTGGATTATTTATAACTCCCTGAAATTCCAACACTTCCTTCAGTTTCAAATTGGGATCTAGCTTTTTTCTAATAGTAGGAGGGTCTTGCTACGGCCCTGCAAAGAATTTTCAGTAACAACATTTGTCATGAAAATATATTGATTGGCGTTCACTTGACTCGATTACTCAAAACATATAGACTATACTGTTTACAGAATCCTTCTGTGTATACAGACTTATTTACCAGACTATTATTAACATCATGAGACAAGTATCAAAATTAAATAGAGTATTGAATATCTAGGTCAGGTACGGTTCAAAGTGTGTCCACTGATACCCGTGACGGTTCATTGTAGCTCAATCAACCAAATAAGTTCAGTTTCTTAACGTTTGGTGAATGATCTTCAAGTTCCGATGACAAACCTATTCGTTATGTGACTGGAAAACACAGTCATGCTGCTTTATTATTTTCCAAAAAGAGATGGTACGACGGTTTTCCCGGCAGTCCATACTCAAGTCATCCCTGCTACAATATATTATTCAATGATATTCTTTGAAGGGTGTATTGAAATCCAGATTTTCAGTCCAGTTTGTCAATGAAGTCAGCAGCGTCATTACCTTACAGGTCAATGTGATCAGGATTCCAGAACAGAGACAATTTGTTAGGTCTTTCTATTGAAGAAAGTTATGGTCGATTTTATGCCAAGTTGATCCAAAAGAATTAGGTAGTGTATTATCAGAAGCATCTTTGATATCAGGAAATGAGCAATATCTTTATTGTTTAGGTTATGTAGTGCTGAATCCATTGATTTGCTAGACTGATGAGCATACTGGTGGTTGTCCAGAATCATTTCTTACCAATTTAGGGTATGGTTTTTTGCGGCCCACTTTAAGTGTTATATTTCCAGTCCTCCTTGAAGAACTAGGGATACGCCATCAACTGTCCGTGCGATGATAACTTTATAGGCGAACTCCTAGTCGTTTTTTTCGACAGATGATGTCCTTCGGTGGTTAAACTTTTATTGGGAAAGTGGCCGACCACTAAAAGACCCGATTTTAGTGGTCGGCTTCTAGAGAGTAGAAAGTATTGTGAATTCTTGAGCTACGAAGCATATACTTCCACAAAACTTTCTGTAGACGCCAGTTAGAGTTGTTGTATAAGGCCCCCAGTTGCACGAATCTTTAGGCCGACTAAGTAATCGTCAAATTTTTCTAGGCTTTCATTCCACCAAGAATAGTTGCGATCATTTCTTTTGTGTGGGATAGGAGATCATTGCTTCGTGAACTGAAATGTTTAACAGTGTTTGTTTAAAGTATCCGTTGTGGTATTTTTTCAAAATAACAATAAATACACAAGGGAAATTATACGCAAAATTCTCATAAACATTTAATCTCCTACTGTCCTTATATACCTACAGACATTTATCAGAAAGCAGGCATGAATATTGACAGATGGGAAAGAAGAACTTGAATGAATCACACCGTTATTGATAATTAGAAAAAAATTTCATTCATGTTACTTTTGTCTACAAAAGTTACCCAAATAAATCCAATACTTCATTTCTAAGAAATATCCAAAACTAATGCCAATCGAAGGCAATTGTTTTCTATTAAGTAACACCACTATATGAAACATCTTTGACACCTTTTTCAAATTTGTTTTTTGTTTCAGCGCAACAGTACACATAACCGTCTCTGACGTGAATGAGTACGCCCCCACGTTCTCGGAACCAAGCTACGTAAGGCAAGTCGACGAGGGACGGATCTACAATGAAATCGTTCGGGTCGAGGCCACCGACAGGGACTGCACCCCGAAGTTCGGGGACGTGTGCAAGTACGAAATCCTCACGTCCGATCAACCCTTCGTCATCGATATGGATGGTGTTATTAGGTAGGTAAGGGCACTTGTGAACCCCAAGGTTCAGTTTTTGGGCCCAAGCTATATTCTGTTTTGTAATCCTGAAACAAGTTGATGTATTTCGTGTTTCGTTACTGAATATTGAGAAACATAAACGTTCAATGAATTATAACTATAATTAGAGTTGTTAATGAATTGTTTGTCTTATGTGATCCAGTGCTTCCTGTATCTGTTCCTTTGTTGCGTTGCCTGCAGCTAACGTCTCCGTTGTGCATTCCTATTATGTTCAGGTGTCCTGTCAATGAACGATGTCCATTGACTGCTTTGCTGAAGCAGTTCTTCACCCTATAATAGTAAGGGGTCTCGTCTAAACATTTGTTCTTTATTTTCCCAGTATTTACTACTCTTTATGTGACTTTGTCAATCATTAAGTTAATATCCCGGCTGAAAAATCCCGGGCCTAAGAAAGAAAACGAGTTTTTATTTGTTCAAAATTGGCTTTATTCATCAACGTAATCTCCATTAAGATACATTTCAATGCTACTTTATAGAACGATTCATCTTTTGACTTTTACCAATTCATGCAATTTTGCCATTGGTTTGATTGACTTGTGACACTGTGCGTTGTCTTGATGAAACAAAATGTTTTTCTTTGCATTGAGCAATTGTTTCTTTGCAATATCGTCAAACGTTCCAATAACGCTATATAATATTCCCTGTTTGATGGTATTTCTCTTCTGAAGATAGTCGATGAATATTACACTACGCACATCCCAAAATACCGAGGCCATAACCTTTCCAGCCGATTGTTGTGCTTATGGGCGCTTTGGACGAGGTTCACCAGTTGCTCTCCACTTAGATGACGATCGTTTTGAGTCCGGAGTGGAGTGATGGATCCATGTTTCATCCATTGTCACATATCGATTCCAGTGTGTTTAATTTAAACATGGCCAAACACTGCTCAGAATCATCAAGACGTTCCTGTTTTTGGTTAACAGTGAGCTCGCGCGGCACCCACAGAGCTTTCTCACAGTCAAAACTCGTGCATTTGTTTTTTTTATGTCAATGTCAGCTAACTCACGCATTTTGTGGATTTTTTTAAGTTTTCTGATGTTACTGCCTCATTTGGACGTTCACTGCGTTCTGCATCATCGGTGTTTCTACGACCACGTTTGAAGTCAGCAAACCAACGTTCAGTTGTTGTATCTGGTGGAGCGGAGTCCATATAATACTTAAACAGTATTTTTTCTTATCAAAAAGCAGTGTAAAATTTAAACATTAAATTGTTTTCAATCCATTGTTTTGAAAATAACAAAAGTAGTGTCACTCTTAGCACAATATCTCTTCTTTTGAAGGTTAGTACTTAGCACCAACTGAAAAAGCGGTGAATGCAATAATACTATCGCCATCTATGTGTTACTTCCGAAACGTTTCAGCCCACGTAGTATTTTCATAAACTACACCTTATGATTTCATCTCCACAAACTTAATACCTTACTTCTACATCAATAATATTTTTTTAAACAAGTTCAATGATGGTAATCTATTCAAATCCAGTTAGTCATTCATTATAATGTTTGAATTTTCAAGTTTATTAATTGTCGTTGCTTCCAAACGGTTCAGTTTCAATTTCTATGTGTAGGTAAAATTTCGAACTCTTCGTTAAAGATATTATTTTTTTCTAAAAGATTATTTGAATATGTTAAACTTGTTTTCTTATTTACATAGTTCATATGATGTTTCTGGATTCGATTCTTAAATGTTCTGCCAGTTTGACCAGTATATACCTTAGGACAAGTTCCACACTTTAATTTATATATACTCCTGATTTCTCGAATTTGGATGTTTTATCTTTATTATTTTTAACTAACTTTCCAAACGTATTACTTGTTTTATATGCAATTTTAATATCTCGTTTCCTCAAAAAAGAAGCCACTTTTTCTGTTGTTTGTCTAAAATACGTTAAAGCTCTATAATTTTGATTTTGATTATCTAACTTATCAATAGGAAAAACGTCTCGAATCGCTTTTGCATAGACTTTTTTGGAAAGTATTTCGTTTATTAATTCAGCTTTTAACCCATTGTTTACTGCAATTTGCTTGACGATATTGAGTTCTATATTGAAATTACCTATTGAAAGAAGAACATTGACTAATTTGTGAATCATGCTCTTATTAGCTGCTTCTTTGTGTTGATATGGATGGGTAGAATCATAATGTATAGTAATATCTGTATAGGACGGTTTGTGATAAATTAAAAATCATGTTTGGTGTCCAAGAAACTGAATGAGTTTGAGTTGTATGCTTCTACTTGTCCTTTAGTACCTGTAAAACATACCAAAACGTCATCCACATATCTATGTCAATAGATAGATTTATTAAAGCTTTCAATTCAAATACAATACAATACAAATGTCACTTAATATTAATATAAATAAAAGCATGGTATATACAATAAGTATATGAAAATGACAGGAACAAATGAGTAAATATCACAGATAAAGATTGATGAGTAGAATGTAATATGTAATATTGAAGTTACTAGGATGCTTAAATTTGATACAGACTGAAAATGGTTATTTGTCCATGAATTCTTGTAATGAATATGGCTCAATGTCTCACAACAGATCGAAAACACGTTTTTTAAAAATTTGTCTTGTCCGATTTTTTTCGATAATCAAGGGTAAATGGTTGTAGAGTTTAATTGATGCGTAATGTGGCCCATGCTGTGTTTTTCAATCTATGTTTAGGAACAATATAATTGGATTTCTGTCAGGTGGAATACTCATGTCTATATATGTCATCTTCAAAATTCGGTTTGTTCTCGTTTACAAAAAGTACACAAACATAAATATATATAGCATATACAGTAAGTATTTTGTTACCCTTGAAGGTACCATGACAAGTATCTGTGTAATTCATATTGAACATTGTTTTCAATATACGTTTCTGCATTATGAAAATACGTTCCAGTTGTGTACTCCCTCCCTATACTAATATTTCATATTTCAGCAGAGAATAAACAGTCCCATAGTGTGCCGTTTTCAGTGCATCCATTTTCAAGTGACGTCTCAACACTCGAATTGCATAACACTTATTTGCTAGCTTTTTTGCAAGATAGTCAATATGTACCTTATAACTCAGTTTATCATGTATATAAATTCCTAACAGTTTTGTACTAGTGTCTGCTTTGAAAGTGTGAAAAATTGAGTCAGGTGGGTGCAGCATGACTTGTGTTCCTTGATCACATGTATTAATTTCCTGTTTATCGACGCCACTGGTTTGTTCATCTGTTATTGTGGATTTATGAATATATATGACACTAGTTTGAGTAATTACAGAGTTTTGTGGTTCTTTTACAATTATCTGTTTTTGCAATTCCTTTATCTTATCTTCGATTTCTTTCACCGTATTTTTTTCAGTTTCTAACAGGATATTACTCGTTCGATTGATTACTTATTTATTTTGTAGAAATTCATGTTGAAACTAGAATAAAGAAAATACTTTTGTCTAGTTTCTACTGTGTTTATTTATTCGTTACGATCGGTTTCGACTTATAAGGCCATTTTCAAGTAACTCTTGTACTTGAAAATGGCCTTATAACTCTTGTAACTCTTGTACTTGAAAATGGCCTTATAAGACGAAACCGGTCGTACCGAATAAATAAACACAGTAGAAACTAGACAAAAGTATTTTCTTTATTCTATATTTAACAGAATATTTAAATCAGTTTCCATGTCCATAGCTAGTTGCAGATAATGATCCTTTTCTTTTATCAGCTTATTAATATATTTTTTATTCATCTCACCTTCCTCAACTAGTTCATTTATTGTTTTTTTCAGCATGCTGGTTTCTTCCTCCTGGGCGAGTACACTATTATCTTTACAGCAGATTATTTCGTTAGTTAGTATAATTAACTCTCAAAGAGAAATTGGTGTAAATAGAAACAATCTTTAATTCGTCTTCTAGGGAACTAATGTTGCAATTTTCATAAAGCAGTAGGTTTGTATTTTCTTGTATGGGCTGAACTACATATTTTGAGAATTCATATTGATATGGTATTATTGTTATTAATACTGATATAATTTGTAAAGTATTTGTATGCACAATTTTCTATTTTCACAGAATTTGTCCAGCATTACTGATATGCTGATCAAATTTAATATTATATCCATTTCATTTATTCTCCCGAAATACTCTTCCTTCCACCAATAAAGCATGTTTATATCAATATTGATTTTTCGAAAGCAGAAATTGAATAGCCGTTTTTCGTTGTCATCAGGAACACAGAACCACTCGACTATGAACGTTCCCACAACCACATCCTTTCCGTTATCGCTTACGACTGCGGCATGCGTCAAAGTTTTCCAGCTCTCGTCACCATCAAAGTCAACAGAGTGTGCAGACTTGGCTGGCGAGGTCTTCCGGAGAGAGTTGACTATGCACCAATGTCAGGAAAACAGGAACTGTTTCCTTCAGCAGGTCTCGAGCTTTGTGACGTGCCCTGTAACGTGAGGGAGCTGAGGACCCGAGTGGATCTCGCTACGAGGTGAGTCGTTATTCATTCCACAATTCACCAGATATAATGAGAGATGGTAGAATTATACACAAACATTAACTTATAATAAATACTTAACCATACGCCTAGCCGTCCATTAGAGCCGAGATTTGGCCATCAGTTATCAGTTGAATGTCCCCAGCTATGAGCTATTAAAATGGATGTGGGGGACATAATATTACTATTAGATACCCCTCACTATGTAAAGAAATGGAGGGGGAAAAATACAAATATATGAGATCCACCTGATTCTTGCACAAAGATGCCGCCTTGGTGAGTTTCACCATTTACATACCAAACTCCAGGGGGTTAGTGTCATATTTTAGTTACTATCGAATAAGTTCTGAGACATTTCAATACATTTTAAATTATATTTCTCTTTTATTCTCTAATATGCTTTTAAACGGCACTACTAATTTGTTCAATGTCCATCTTGAAGCAATAAGATCAAAGAACAAAAAACTCACAGAAAATACCTATTTCAAAAAGATTGCACGTGAGTCCTTTTAATTGGCCGGTAGTGGTGGTAGTGCGCCCGACTCACGACCGGAAGGCTGTGGGTTCGATTCCCGCCTCGACCGGATATTTTTCTCGAGATAATCTATCTGGTTGAAGCTGGGATGATTCTGCAACCGGGTTAGGAATCACACGTTAAAAGGTAAGACCTCGTTAGTCTTTAGCTCGCACAAGTTTCTCAACTTCTGAGAGTTGTCGTTCGTATGGGAGCGACAGCTGATTAACGGAAAAACAGACAGAACAGACAGACTTCACTCGTTAGGCTGTTCGGCCGAATGAGACTGTAAAATCTCAGAATCACAAATTTAGGTGGACAAAGGTCAAGTCCAAAGTTTGGAATTTCTGAGTGCTTGACCTATTTATTATTAGTTAGTAAGCCACTTAATACCAACATTTCCCGCCATTCCATGTTTACAAATAAATAGACACGTGCTTAATAACCAGCAGTGAGATTATCTCTATTTGATGGCCATTTATTATGTTCAAGCAGTATGTAGCACAAAGTCTTTTTGCTTTTATTTAACAATGGACATTGGTGAGACAGTTAAGACATTATATTTCCACACTCTTTATTGAATATACATTGCAGTCTACCTGTAGAGTTAATTTAAAAATTTGTAAATGTATATCCCTATTCAATAACAAAAAAACCCCAAGTTATCCCAAGGAGTTGTTCCATCAATCCTTCTAGTCTTTAAATATTGCAAAGAAATGTTTGCGTTTTGGGTTATACATAATTCTTTCAGACAAAACACTGAATCACGAGCAGGAAATTTTTTGGAGAGTGGGTTAAGTTTTCCAAAAAAAAAAACCGCCAAGGCCACTTACTTCCGCTCAAATTAATAATCAAGAAAATGTGGAGATTGGGACTTTGAAAATTTGAATTTCCCGTGTTTCCGACAAAATTTCGGGAAGCTGGGACAAATGTCATAGAAAACTGGAAGATGTTTTTAATAAATACTCTAGTTAGCTTGATTCAGATGAAAAGGATTTTAGTATTTCAGTTATCCAACCTACTTGTCAACGCTCAGGCCGCCCTGAAAGAAGAGTTTCCTAAATGATTCAAATACATCAGAGCAGGTTTACGCTCCAAGCCGATAATTAGTTTTGTTGTATTATTTTTCCCGTATTCTGGGACTTCAAACGTTAAATGTAGGAAAGTTTTATATTTTAGCAAAAAAAATTATTTACATTTTTAATTTCTTCCGTAATCTGTTACCCCAAAGGTTACATATGGACAAGTTTCAGAATTTAATCCACCTAAATCGGCATATTTTCCACTGTGTGACGGACTTCTATGATCGGCCGAACAGTAGTGTCTAGTGGATGAGCTCCAATGGTTTCTCTTGTAATGAGATCATTAGCCCATACACGGCCGTTGTACGGCCTGATCTCATTACGGCTCAATATTTTTTTGTGTTGGATATGGATGATAACTGGAAATTTATTTGCTATATTCTGAAACATAGTTTATGGCGCAAATATGCAATATATTGTGCGCAATATAAAAAGTGAAATAATTCCGGAAATTATGGTTATCATTGTCTCCAAATGTAAAAAATAATACACTGATACACAAATGAAAAAGTGAAAAAATGAAAATCATAGTAATAAATTCAAATGAAAAAAATTATAGCCAATCCCCAAATATTGAGCTCAGAAATATAACTGAATACTTACATCTGACGTCCAACGTGGAGCTAGATCTATTTTCATGCAATGTGCAATGAAAAACTTTGTACTAAGAAATATTATTTATTTCACCTACAAAGTGTAAATTTCTGTCTAACTGAAACAGTAATATAATTGGAAGTGGACTCTGACTGTGACTCTAAAACAGACCAATCAAATATTAAAAGGTATATATGTATATCACATTGAAATAATATCATTTAGGATTGAAGAAAAACGTGCAGCTACCTTTTTGTAGTCACCAGCCATTGTAGAGGGGATCTGAACTTCTAATCACTTTGAAGGTTCTATTCAGAACGTTTTGTTGTTTTCATTTTCCAGAACATAGTTCCTGAGGAGGTCTAAATCAATTCTACACTGAAAATAAATGCCTTATTTAAATATTTACATATTTTTCTCCTGTGACACAGTTCCGAGGCCATCTAATGGAAAAGTCGAGAGTTTGTTCAAGATCTAGATAAATACAGTAGTTAAAAGTAAAATTGGAACCACTAAATTGAATCTATTGAAAACACTTTTCCGACTTCAGAATAAAAACGATCTCTTGTCTAATCATGAAAACATCATCAGAAAATGAATAGTCATCAATGACTAGTCATCTTCTTATGATAAAAAAGTATTTTTGGTTTGGAAAAAGTGTTTTAATAGGGTGGTGAAGATGCAGAAAAGACCATTTGATGAAATCGCTCTGAAACTAATCTATGGTTTTACCATATGGTGAAATAAGTCCTTCTGAGCAGCGTCAGTAGTTGAATACTTTTCACTTCTAGATGAACGATTTCTCCAAATTCTCCAAAATAATCGATCCAGACAAAAGATAGTCTTGTACTCCACATATTACTTTTGCAATTATCCCTCTCAAAATGAAAGTTTTAACATTTTATTCGTCATGTAAACAGAATGACTCCTAGGCTTTATAAGAAAAACAAGTTTTTCCAGAAAACATAAAATTATACAAGTTGAGTAGGTAATAGAAGATATATAATAATATATAATTGATTAATATAATATGTTGTACTAAGTATTATTATAGAAATTCTGTTTCTGAAGTATTCAAAAACATTATAAAAGGACTGTTCATTAAACTAAAGTTTTGATAAAAATTGTACCGGTCTAGTACTACTACTTTTGACCATAACTTTTTCTTTCCAACTATTCTCTTGATAATTTTCAGAATGTTAATTGATGATTTTTTATGTTTCTGGTGATAAATTTGAAACTCAGATCTCTCTTGCTGTGCGCTTCACTAACCAAGTCAGCATCATCAGGAGATGACTAAAACTGTCATCTGTCAGACATATATTTTGTTTCGATACTAAAAAAGTATCGGTTAATGCATAGGTAACAGAAGGGCTTCTCTGATGGTATATAATAACCTGTTACATCATTTAAAATCTGTTATGTTTTCTTTCAATATATTTATCCATTCAGTACAGTATCATAATTCTTGATTTTTTGTAGGTAATCATGATCTTATCTTGTTTTTATGCTCAATAGTAGAAGTCCTAGTTGTATGTACGAGTCTGGAATGCCATTTTTGCTGAAGTTGATCTATTATTAGTCCTAGCGAGACTTACTTCAGGTACTTATTTTATTATCTTTAATCATGACTTTGCCTTTGAGAGCCAATGTTCTTATAATTGATCTATTATTGTTAGAGTTGCACATTTTTGTGCAACTGTTTCAACCTTTATTCAAAAGAAAACCTATCTCCACCCTCATGTATCTCAATATGTCATGAAATGTTTAGAATTTTTTATTGAAATTTTCGAAAATATCTCTTTTTCAATGCCGAAAATTTAAATTATAAGTACTTTTCGCGTCCATATTTGAACATGTTTTCCTTTCTTGATTCACAGTGTCGATGTAACAAATCTACATAGGTGTTATTGAAACTTTGTACATTGGCAATTATCATTCGTATCCACTTGAGTGCTTTACGCAACACAAATCTAGAATTTCTCTACATGGTGCAAATAATAATGGAATATAATGTACTGATAGTTATTCATTTGTAAGGGCATAAAACTTCATGAAATTTCACTTCTTCGATTCTCCCTACAAAACCACAACCTTTGGCTTCATTCTGACATGGAATCGACAACGTTTCCAAAATTTCTTCGAGGACAAAATTCCTCGACTTTCCAATCGCGGCCTGACAAAAAGGGCAGTTTCTCATTTTCATTTTGCAGTTCTTACATATCGTATGACCCGTTTGACAGTTATACACCGGCGGGCACATATAATCCTTGCAAATCGGGCATTCGAAGCTCTTCCCGAGGATTTCCAAGTTGATTGGAAAAGACTGCTTGGGAAATCCCTCAGCTAAGGGTTCGAAGCTTTGGCAAATCTTTACCGAATAGCTCAGTCTCATGTCCTTCAGTCTTTTGATTTTGACAAACTTTGTAGTCATGAAGTCGAAGCTTTTCAAGTCACACAAACCTATCTTGAGGAAATGTAAGCGGTGCAGGTTATCGTTGAATGGCTTGATCTCTTGATTCTTCATTTTCAAGGTGGAATCTTCATTGTCGGAATGACAGGTTAGTGAAACCACATAACAAATTCCACAGGGTTCTAAGCAGAGGGAAAACACTCCAAAGTAGTAGTTGTAGCATGTTATGTCTCCAGTAGAGTCCTCTGACTCGCAGTTGCTGTGAACGAACAGCAGCATCACTATTTGATTGACCACAACCAGGCAGACCTGAGTGTCTGCTATAAAGTTCCAAATTTTTTCCTCTTTGAGGATTTTTTTCGCTTGTACCTCGTTTGTGAAGATATATTCCTTGTGGAATTTCACCCAATGGTCCAAGATACTAGTAACCTGGTAAGAATCCCCGCAGAAGTTGAAAGGACACGTTATCTTTCTGATCTGGCATCTCTCATGGTATTCACCGTGAGTTCGCGCTGGAATGTCGCTCATCAGGAGAGCCTTATCGTATATTGATGGGCAAAGGATTTTGTTCAGTCTACACGAACTCTCGTGTCGTTCCATGTTGTTCCAGGAGAATTGTATGCCACAATACATGCATGGGAAGGACGTTACCTTGGCGATTTGCTCGTAAATTACATTTCTGGGCCAGCCGGGGTTGCATCTACCACAACTATGCTTTTCTTGGTATGTGGATATTGGAGGGATGGATAGGTAGCCATGACACAAGTCGCATTTCAGTTTCTCAGTTATGTAGTCGGGAAGGATGATCCGGGCGTCCATTGCCTGAAAATGAAAATTTTATTATACATTCTCCTATGAATCGCACAATTATAGTCATGGAAGTAAGGTAGTTTTTGAGTTTTTTTTTGTTTCAAGAGGAACTTCTTTTAATTCAGAACCATTCACCATCTCACATTTTACTCGAGAATTGCTGATGTCTGCTAACAACAACTAATCAAAACAAACCTTTATTATATAAATAAATGAACGATGGGATTAATATAAGAATTCAATGCAGAGGATATTATATTTTCCTTTACCAAGGAGAATGTTTCGAGTATTTTACTTGTGTTTATTCCATTTATAAATAATTGAATTATACTTTACTACTACCCACAAACAGTACAATGTTCAATGATTATTCACTTCAACCTAAACCACGTTATCAAATTTATTATAGTCACTTTTTCGAATTTATTGATGCAAGTAAAATAAAGGTTTATTGTCTAACAGGAGTAATCCCAATTACTAGACAAATATAATCAAGATTACAGCTATGACTAAGTACAATGGAATGGCTAATAATTTTAACAACCATTTTGCAAATTCAGCTCTCAAAATTTTATCAACACAAAATAATATCGGTAAAGTGAGCGATAGCCTCCAATAGTCACACCTTGTTTTTGATTCCAGTCACAGAAAATGATTTAATAGCAATTGTAAAAAATATGAAAAACAAAAAGAGTTGTGGAATTGATGATGTTGCAATACTTATCGTTAAAAGTTGTATATATGAAATAGTGTTTCAACTCATCTGATAAATATGTCATTCGAGCAAGGAATTTTTCCTGATGATTTTAAGACGGCTATTGTAAAACCACTATACATGGACACATTCACTTTATCATGTTTCATGAAAAGTTTTGTTTTTTGAGGTTAGGACTTTCAAACTTATGACGTTAGAATTATTTTTCAGTTTACTTGCATTTAATAATGACAAAATGAAAATTGCAATAAAAACGGAACTAGGTACATGAAAACAGTTGAACGGAATCAATACATAAATTTTACGAATTATAACAAATTTGAACCGATATAAATTATATTATGTGCTGAAGAGGATATTATGATGTCTTGAAAAGAAACAAAGAATACTTGTTAATGTAATTTCAATCTTCGCGAAATTAATACTACCCATGTACTTTCAACAAAACAACCTGTTTAGTCAACATCATGCATGCATTGTTTTGACGTCAGGGATTGCGTTATATTATATTTGTTTTCATGCCACTCCAAAAATATAAACAAAGTACCTCGGAAATATGATTAGTATTATAACCACAAGAAAAACAGGAAAAGAACTGTTTCACTTTTTAGAATAACTTATGGCACAAAAGTACTTACTTGATGTTCGAAGTTGCACTTCAATTTGAAATGACACAGCAAATGAAACTAAGCCGGCCTTGGGTTTGTCGAACGTTCAACTTTTTTTCATCGCGCACTTGGCATTGGTTTCAAGGTAATTACCTGCAGCTAACTAGCTACTTCGTTGAGAGCACCGAATTTTGCTATCTTTTATGCTTACTGAAATTGTGTTCAAATTGAAATAAGATACTAATTACGTGTTATCGTTTTCGGTATTTTGTATGTTTTATTTATATTCAAAGTTAGGCAGCAACACAGTTTCTAGTATTTTCGACTGAAATAAAGGTTGTTACATTTGTTACATTAGTTATTAGAACCTATTTGATGCCAAATCCGTAATCAATGACTCAGAAAACCTTTATGAATTCTCACACTTATATGTTATGTTTGACATAACGAAACCTTGTCAAAACACATTACATCAACATTACAAAAAGGAAGTTATTCCTCATCGAAAAAAAGATAGTATCTTTCATATAAAGAAATTTCATTGGATCATCCCTTGTTAAGTTATTATTTGTTCACCATTTAAAAATGTATTTCTGATAGCTTGTTTCATTCTAAACAAAAAATGTCTCTTGGATTTTTTGCCCAAAATAAACCAGTTCGCAGCAAAAAATTGTTTTAGGAACAACTACAGTGTTAAGAATTATACGTTAAAAGATAAGACCTCGTTAGTCCTTAGCTCGCACAAGTTTCGACTTTTGAGCAACAGCTGGTTAACAGAAAAGCAGATTTCAACAGTTTTTTTTTAACTATGAGTTTTTTATTTCTACAATCAGAAATTTGTGGTAGATAAACCACCACAATTTTAATATTTTACTTAATAATTTGTCACTACCTTTTAGCCTGCTTCAAATAGCAGACAAGGGCGTCGCCAAAGGGGGGCAGGTGGGGGCAGTTGCCCCTACGCGAGCCGCTGTGAACGAGTCACTTTTTAATTGGAAGTGATCAACGAAACAAGCTAAACAAGCGAATTGGAAAGCGATTGTAAGACTACCGGCTTGCCTGTTTTAGTCAATATTCATTTATATTCATTAAATAATATAAGATCTCATAGGCTTAACCTAACAAATCTTACAGTTGTTGATGTCCTAAAAGAAACAAATTCCTTCTTTCCCAAAACGGAAAAAGCATTAAAAATATTGATCGCTTTACCATGCACGACCTGTACAGTAGAGCGATCCTTTAGCAGCCTCAGAAGAATGAAAACATGGCTAAGAAGCACCATGGCAGAAGATCGCCTTAATGGTCTGGCCATGATGAGTGTACAAAGAGCTATAATAAATAAAAATCTAAATAATTTCAATGATAAAGTGGTTGAAAGTTTTGCAAAAAATCCCCGCAGGTTATGTTTCAATTAAATATAATTTTTGTTAAAATAAATATTTATTACTGTGTTTAAAAGTTTGATTTAGTTATTGTACTATCGAGGGCTTGTGAAGTTTTATACATTGATATCAGAACCGTTCTTATTATAATCGTCATCGAGGCAAAGACTTCCAAAATGTAACGCTTCATGCTCTCAACTGTACCAGGCGTTCATATTTTTTATCCTTCATAATATTGCCCCATTGCCCCCCCTCATTCAAAAGCTGGCGACGCCTTTGATAGCAGACCCTAATTAATTATCCAGTATTCAACTTCATGAGAACTAATTAAACAGTGGCCCGTTATTTATTTTATTTTTGTTCTGATTTTTAAACATATTGATTTCCAAGTGTTCTAAAAGATTAAGTTTCATACTTTCCTCTTACCAATATAATACCTTATAGTCTCGACCATGGTACTCTTCCAAAAGACAGTTGTTCAAATATTGGATTTATATATATTTTTTTTGTTTTAGGCACATTGGCAAAGGCTGTGACAGAGATACCTACTCTGTTCAGTCACAAAGAAAACTTTGCGGGGCTTCGCCAGCTGCGATTGATCTCCTACCAAGTCCTGGAGTTGGTGCAGAATGGACAAAACCACTTATTTCTGATGAAGGACATGAAAGTGATCAGATGTTCGAGTTCGATGGTGAGTGATAGATATAGTTTGAATTAAACTTGAAAGGTTACAAAAAATTAAGTTCACATTTCATTTTCAACTAATCAAACAGCGAGAGTAGCAAGACACAAATTATTGTATCTCATAGTAAATAATCAGAAGTTTTCATAGAGGAAAAATCAGTTTTCTGTTTACAGAGAAAATTTTTGAAGATTGATTGGGGCTGGAAAGTGTATCTATGAAAAGTTATAACGAGTATTTCAGACGATCGTGACCTCAAAGTATTCAATGTTGCATATGCCCAATATGGCACATTTTCGTAAATTCCATTTACATTTACTTTCTTGTAGGGATGAACCATTACAAACAGTAGTGATTTGTTAATATAATTCTTGTAGATTGGTCACAGTGCCCCAGCAAACAGCATTTCCTTTTTTTTCCAGTAATGGAGATATGGAATGTTATCAAAATATCTCATACTTTATTTCAATCAACTTCATTTTCTTTCGGAGGAAGTCAAAAAAACCTAATTGCTCAGGTTCTCAACTATTACTAAACAGTTCCTTTTGCCCCTTTAGGTTCCAGCACTGCAGTATCTATTCCTAATTCAATTTTGGACCACAATCTACCACCTACTTTCACTGTAGCTACTTGGATGAGGCACGGACAACATCAAACTCAAGATAAACACCTTAAAGAGCATATAATTTGCACTGCCGATGATCACAGTAAGTAATTAGTATAATTTTTCTTCTCTTAATATTTTTTTTAATATATTCAAATAACCTTTCGATTAATTACTTATTTATTTTCCCAACACCAAATCGTTATATTTTTAACACCTCGACACGTGTTTCGATCACCAAGTGATCATCTTCAAAGAGGAAGATTAGTCTTCCTCTCCAGTAATATTCATTACTACACCAAAGGTTCCAAACAGTACATCATAAGTTCATAGCTGTATACCTAAATCTCATAGCTGTATATCTAAATCTCATAGAAACACTATTGATTTCCTTGAGAATAAATATTTCTCAAGTTACTGTGAACTAGACATTGATTGGTAAACATAATTGTTCATTTTTTTTAATTATTATTTTTTAAAGTGTAAAAAAAATTTGATATCTCAAACTGAAATTTTTACCATGCGTTTTATCAACATGGATAAATCCTCTCCTTAGTACATGTGTTATATCGACCAGATATGTTGATTTCGTTTACAATACAGTCTGATAATTTGTTTCAGAAATGAACAGGCATCACTATGCTCTTTTTGTGAGAAACTGTAGATTGATTCTTCTTCTGAGACGTGACTTTTCAGAAGGAGATCTGAACATTTTCCGACCTGCGGAATGGAGATGGAAAATTTCCCAAGTAAGTACATTTTCTGATGTAAAAATTCCACTTTCAATTTGATCATATTACCCAAATCATTTCAGTTACTGAATTTACTGTGAAACTGTTTGTTGGCTGAGAAAGCCTAAATATCATAATACATAGTTTCGTTAATTTTATAATAAACTTGGTTTATTTTAATTTAATTCTTTAAAGTATAATATCGTACAAACAATAGAATATAGTAAGATTAGGGAAGATATTTTTGAGTGTCTGCTTCATCAAACCTCGTTGCTAGATTCAATTTCTGAAAATTATATTTTTTCAACTAGTATGTCAACATCATTTCTATCCCATTGTTATTATTACAACTAGCTACTGCAGGATAAAAAATTCAATGTGAACCCAAAAAATTTGTAGAATACATTTATTATTCGGTACTGGCTTTTTTAACCCAAAAATATAATTTTAGGTGTGTGACGACCAATGGCATCATTATGCCATCAACGTACGTTTTCCTGATGTTGAGCTCTACATCGATGGTCAGCTTTTCCGAGGTGAGAAGAAGAATCCAGAAGTCATAGATGACTGGCCACTCCATCCCACGAAAGGAATCAACACTACTCTTACTGTAGGCGCGTGCTGGCAGGTGATTATTAACAATAATTCTAATTTAGAATTTTATGGTTGAAGTTTTACCTGATTTTTTTGGTTTTAACTGATGATCATATTTTCAGGGGTCTGACAACAAAATGAGACATCATCTTAAAGGATATTTGGCTGGATTGAGTATTCTAGTTGGAGAAACTGAAAAACCTGAAGTGTTGAGTTGCCTGCATCAGTGTAAGGAGAGTTTGCAGGTAAGCATTATTAAGGCTACAAGAATCATTTTTGGTCAGTATCAGTCATAATTTCTCTTGGCTTCTCTCCAGTAAATTTTTTTACAATTACCTAGTTATCATTCTATTTTTCCAGGTGCCTGCAATGGAACTCCTTCAACCAGGAATGGAACTTCTAACCAACTCGGACTTAACCGAAGTGACAGTAGAAGGTGATAATAGAACTAATCTAGAAACATTGGTCCGTAAAGTAGGTTACGCCAACTCTAGAGAATTCCCCACGCCAGGAAGACGGAATTTACGCCTATCAACTACTGTGACTTGTGACAATGGAAAACAGGTATGATTAATTTTTCATGATCGCGAGTATACTTTGTTATTCAAACTAATTATTGATCTAATGTGACACCTATTTAGGGGAACAAGTAATTCTCAGTACATGAACTGATAAACATATTTTTCAATTGCGTAAAATGTCAATAATTCTTAACTAAAGTGAAGGTGGCTACTTTTAGGTACTTCAAGTAGTGAAATTAAAATGTTTTGAGAATAAAAATCAATGTCGTATCTCCACTTGGGAGATTAGAAGAACTTTTCAGATCATGAAAAGGTTAGATTACAAATAAAAGGTTTACAAAATACTTTGAAAGTTTAAATTGGGCTTTGGGTGTTTTTACTGATACCTCATATATTTTTACCCTAGAATATTGAACTTACTGTACAATACAAATAGCAACACCTGCCTTAAATGTGATTTCCAAAGGATCTTTGTCAATATTGTTCGTGAGTTGATGGTTTTCAATTATTATGAATATTTTTCTATTTGGAACCATCAATTCACATGACAGCAACCGTTCAGCACATTCTTGACTTGACCAACTGGTGCATTATCGTTACTTCACCTGAGCCGTCCCATTTGTGAGGCAATAGGTTGTTGTAAAACAATATGGAATTACCGTGAAATACAGGAACCTGGACACCTCGTTTTAGTCAGTTTTGCCATAAAATTGTTCTACTATTGTCTTCTTTCATATTATTGGTGTTTTATAATTTTTATTATTCAGAACCACTTTCAATATTTATGGAATAAAGTACAAGACGATTGGTACTCTTTTGTCTCTTCATCATCTGATCTGATCCTCTCTGAAATAATCTCGATTTATGGAAGAGAGTTTATATCATCTGTATGATCTTGGATTGGAAGTCTTTTACTGTAGCACAACCTCTTATGCTTTTAAAACTAAAGTTATGACTACGTGTTTTTCATGAAAATCATAATCAATTGGATTTAGTAGCTTAAAATAACTCAATACTTGTATTCAGAAAGTACAATTATTTACTATGTATTCAATAATTGAAACATGTTGAAAGGTAAATGAACACTTCCCTTACTTCTAGGTCAAGGTACCAGATGCACAGACTTACGTCATGGTGCTTCGGCCGCAAACTCCAAGTATAATGTTGAATGGCACAGGAAACATGGCTAGGAAGTATGAAGATTTCAGAATGGGCGTCAGAGTATTGGCTGACTTGCACATTACTGGAGAACAAAAATTGGATAAATGTCAGTTGAGTATCTACCCCAATCTGAATCCAGATCATGAGAATTTGAGCGTTCCAGAAGAAATGCTAAAACGGCTGGGTAAGTATAACCTATTACAATATTACAACTTTTTAAATTGTAAAATATTGAATGTTTTGAAAAATGTGTTGAATTTTTGTGTCAAGGAATGGCTGCTAGGGTGTCAAAAGATGGCGTCACCATAACTGGATCAGATATGGTCTACAATTATCAACAGGTCCTCAGACAGATTGTCTACACTAATCATAAACCTGCTTACTACCTCAACAGAGTTTTCAAACTGACATGTTCTGAATTGAATGGAAGGTTTACCTCCAATGAATACGTACAAACAGTAAGTACCGATTTTGAGTTTGTTATTTGAGATCAAACATTGTAATTTAAAAGTGAAAGCCATACTTGATTATACTTTTGAGTTCGAAGAAGTTTGAAATGATAGAAAGAGAGTCAAAATATTGTGACATGTGTAAAAGTCATTGCCTGCTTCAATTTCTAATTATTTTCTGCCTGTCTGCAAAAAAAATATGTTTTACATTCCGTTTTATCTCCAAGTTTTGGCAACGACAGTCATTGCTGAGTCTTCGAGATATAACCCTAATCCTTGCAGTCAACGCACATACCACTGGTGACTTCTGTCGCAGTAGCAGACGAAACGTTCACTCAGTAGTTCCGTTTGACCACCGCTTATACCTTGAATTTTTTTTTCTCATCATTTCGATTTTTTCCTATTAAAGAAGTATTCCCACTAACATGGGAAGTACAAATAGAAAATATAGTAATGAAACTGAGTAGCATATGTTTTGTAATAAAACAATTACGTGGAACTGTCTCGCTGGAAGTGCTAAAATTAATATACTATGGACTGGTGCAGTCTATTTTATCTTTCGGATTGCCTTCTGGGGAAACTCAGCTCATGCCGTGAAAGCATTTAAAGTCCAAAAAAAAAGTGATAAGATGCCTACGTGGACTTCAGTATAAAGAATCATATTAGAAAACATTCACTCAACTGTCCATACTTACTCTTCCCTACCTGTACATATATGTAGTAGCCGTTAATATAAAAAATGAAACACACTACTCAAAAAATAATATGTGCCATAACTACAACACACAAAGGGTAACGAATTAAGACTACCTTACGCATGTTTGGCAGTGAGACAGGACTCTGCGAGTTATCAAAGCATAATTTACTATAACCATTGGAAATAAATGCAGTCTGCAAACATTTAAATCGAGACTATACAGTCACCTAGCAAAGAATCCATTTTATTCTGTGCAAGAATTTTTAAACTCCTAATATAAGTCAATAAGATGCTTTTCTTTTATTTTTGTAATGTACATGTATATATCTATTTATATTTTATATATAGCCTAGCGCTCAAGTTTGACTAGTCTGATAAAATTTTATAAGAGTCATGTAATGCAAAGCAATTATACAATTTTGAATGACGAATAATTTCTATTCTATTCAGAATGCTTCATAATTTTTTGTTCGTAGTTCATCTCTTACTTCACCCTCACCTTTATTTATTTGCATTCTGATTATATTGAAAAATTTAAAGGACATTTCTGAGTATTGATTTATCTTCAATCTGTAATTTTGTTAGTGTTAAGCACTATTATCTGTAGTACACTCGTTACTTTTGTTGGTTTCAATAATTTTGTGTAATACTCTTCTTGTAACTTTAATTTTCAAATGAAAAATCTAAAACTTAGGTTAGATTTAATGAATTGCCTCTCATCAGAACAGGCAAGGCTGCTACAATCTCTAACAAAAAGGTATGTAGTGATGAATGTAAAAAATTCATTTCATATATTTTTTCCAGCTGACTGTCATTCATCCGCAACCCAAAGAAACCATCGCCCATGCTATGGTAAACAAGCACTCTGTCGAGGTGCGACCAGCCTCTGTCATTTCGCACGACTATGTACCATCTGAGCACCTCAATCTTGTTGCCTCTGGCGGTTCGCACGCCGTTACCATCATAGTGGTTGTGTGCGTCGGCTTCCTTCTTTTCATGATAGTTCTGGGAGTGATCCGGATCAGAGCGGCCCATCAACGAAACGCCAACGAGGAGGTACAAGATGGCGAGATGACATGGGATGATTCTGCACTCACCATCACTGTAAATCCCATGGAGGTGAGTTACATTGTTTCTGGTATGTTGTGGTAAGCTCGTGATAAAATTTGTTCTTTGAAACATTTGGTTTTTGTACCTTCATGTCTGACCAATAAACTTTCTGGTAATCATTAATAAAACCCTCATTGGTCATTGAATTCCATTATTTGGTTTATAAGTGCATGTATACAAAGTAATGGTCTATATAATCTCTAAATTAGTTATTGTATGAATATAGTACAAAATATATTTTTTTCCAATACTTGGGAACCGTCTGACTAATCCATTTTTCTCAAGTTTTCACAAAACACTGCAGTGTCATGGGCTCATTGCGTTTTTTTTTTCCATCTTTTTCATGACACCCATTCCATCAATCTTGTGCCCCGTAAAAGTTAAGTTTGTACAGAATTCCTACTGGACGGGTGTCATATTCTTCTGGACATAATTTGGGTTGTCCATAAATTGTTTGTCTCCTGTGATCCAATGCTTCACATTCCCATGAAATATGACGAGTTGTCTCTGTCCCATTGTTGCATTGCCTGCAGTTTAGGTCCTTATTTTGTTCAGGTGTCCTTTCACTGGACATTATCCACTAATTATTCCGAGCCGAAACTGTTGAAACAGTTATTCAGTTCTCTTCTTGAATGGTCCCTTTATAAAGGTTGTTCCGTTCCCAACATATCTTATACTTTACATCACTTTGATGGAAATGGTTATATTATAATCTTCAAAAGCAATTTTAATATGTCCCTTGATTCAATTATGATCGAGCCAACAATTCAATTCAATATTTATGTATATTTTATGTCCATGAGTGAATTATAACATATATGTAGAAAATCTTGATAAGGAAAATACAAATTCTAAAATATTTTCTGAAATGGAAAGAATTTATCTAAATGAAATTGGTGATTTTGCAATGTTTCATTGCTGACGGGCTGCAAATAGCTATTATTCTTCTTAAGTGGTTGATAATAGGTTACAGCGATTACATCTGTAAAAAAATATCAAAAAAGCTATTCTTTCTATCTAGAGTATCTCATAACATGTCCCTCTTTTCCAAAATTACCATTTATAGGACGATGATACAACCCCACTTTGACTATTGTGCCAGTTTACTGTACCTGTTGGACAAAAACTGTTTAATGACTTTACACAATCATCAAAAAAGGGGTGTGAGAATCATTCTGCAATGCAATAAATATGTTCCGATTGATCTGATGTTAAGAACTTTGAACTGGTATAAAGTAAATAAACACCTGTTTTTCATGACAATGGTGTTCTATTATAAAATAACAAAAAAGTTAGTCCCAAGTTATCTTAGTTCATTAATTACATATAATAATGAGATCCACACTTATCCTATAAGAAACGTGACCCATTTCCATATAGCTTGAACTCGAAATGTAAGCTCAATGAAAACATTAATCTTCAAGGACTTAAATGATTTCGATAACCTCTCAAATAAAGTGAAAAATTCACTGTCTTTACTTTCAAAATTCGTCTAAATGAATTAATTTCACCACTGTACATGTAAAAAGATGAATTATGGAAGGCATGTGCGTGAGTGGGTTGTGTTGCTCATGTATATTGAGTGTAATATGTGTATATATTAATATCTGATAATTGTGACACTATAGATGTATTTTCATATTTCAGCTTTCTTTATTTAGCATTAAGTATTTTTTATTACTAATTACAAATATTATAAATGTATGTAAATTAGGATGTTCTTATTTCAAATAAAGATTATTATTATTATTTAATCCAATATTCAAAACCTTTAGATGTTTCGAATGTTTTCTTGAACAGTTCTGTTGGTTACTATTTATTCCGAAAGTAGTTCTCTTTGTTTTTTATCGAATTTATGAATTTGTAAAGTTTGAGTTTGGATAACATTGATATATATTAATTTTTTTTGTTTTTATATAAGTCAATAGTTTTTTTAGTCATGTATTACATAACCTTTCTGCTCTTTTTTCTGTTTCTTATGTATGATCTTTATTGATTTTCAATATAAGTACTCAGTTCAGTCTGAAAATTTATTGTAATAGTTTCAGTCAATAATTACACCTCTACATGCTTTCACATTCAGTTTTCTGTCAGTAATATAAAACTTGATAAAACCTCATAATGTTCTATATCTAGTTTATCTTTTACATATTTTTCAGACGGCGGAAAGAAAACTAGAAGGCAACACCATGGAATACAGCGATACGGAGCAATCTGATTCTGAGAGCTCTTCTGACGATGAGAACATGGATGGGCCTTGCAGGGTTCCCGACTCTTCAGATGATGATGACGATCATCCAAGAGGTTTGCGTAAACATGATTATCAGAATGTTAGTCAATTGGAATGGGATAACTCCACCATGTAAGGACATGCCGAGCAGATCAACTGCAGATTGAAGAAAACAAAATTCATTTATTGAATTGTTCGACATATATTTTGAAGTTGGTTTTATTTTTTATTCCAGAAAGAGCACAAAACTTTCAAGAAAAAATATTTCCATTGGATGAATTATTTGTTTCATTAAGAATCCTTCCAGATATTTTAAGTAAATATTCAAAATTTGAATGGACTTGTGGTCACTTTAGTAGTTGAAATTTAAAACCAATTTCACCACGATGTCTAAAACCAGTTTTAGTTGATGTCAATTTGACTAATCCTAGCTTCTACACTTTCACAAAAATCAGTTACTATCTATCTTCGGTTTCTGCAGTTGATCATGTTTGATGAAAGAAATTCAAGGTGCAATGCAATCCTGTGCAGGTGCCATAAAGTGCACTCCCAATGCCGTACGTATGAAAACAAAGTATGCCTAGAAAGTCAGCTTTTGGACCTAATACTAAATCAGAAAATGCAGATGCCATTTGCTTTAGCATTTAAATATTGTTTTCGGCGCGTACGGCATTTGATATCAATAAATTAATCGTCCATATTTGTTAGAGATATGTATACAGTATGTTGTATATGTATATCCATACGCCCTTTTTAGCTAGTATGAACATATATTAGAAGCTGTTTACACTCTGCTTGGATTTTCGCCTTTTTTATTGGTATGGCAGCATTTTTATTTTCATAAATATTGTTTCTTGTCAATTTACCAATATTCGTATATTTGAAAAAACTATTTTTTCAATTCATCTCAAAGTATTATTTTATTTTTTACACATTTTTTGCTATTATTGCTTTGAATAAGAGAAATATTCCATATTCAAACTGCTTCTGAGAAGGGGTCTTGGGAATTCTTTTCAAAGCAATGCAACAAGAAATGCTAACAAAAATTTTTCTGATTTTTTTTTGAGGTTCCACTAACAAGATTTGTTTTAATAATATGCGCTTTTTTGTACTTACCTTTTTTAGATGTTAAGTTCTCACTTTTACACTATTTTATACAGTAATAAATCAATCATATCAATTCCTCAAATACTGTGCTATCAATTTTTTTGTTTTTAATCGTGTCGGACATTTTCATCGATTTACTAAAACAACATATTTTTGTGTGAAATGTGTTGAAAGGTTTTTTGAAAAAAACTAATAAAACATTGATTGATTTGGACTTTTGTTTCTGTAACAATCATTTTATATTTCTGAAGTAATTATGGATTGCTAATAGACTTAGAAAAAGGGTAAACTTGAAAAATCCCCTTTAAAAAAAATAACATGACAAACATGAATTCTGAACACATAGATTAATTGGTATTAACTCTTTCCATTGAAAGTCTTGCTATAAATTATACCGAATGTCTCTAAAAAATTCTGGATTTTGGCTATTTTTTACCTTTATTTAATAGATGAAAATGATACTACTGTGACAACCCCAAAAATTGGAGACATTCTGTAAAGTTTAGCCACACTTGTTGAGAGGCACACTTTTTTACCAAGTTGCTGAATGTATGTTGATTCGAAGAGAATGTCTGATACGCATAACTTTTCTACAAATTTTCTACTTAAGACTTGATGTTTGTCCCTTTTCTCGCACAATGTTCATCAATGTTTCGGTTGGTAGTAACCCAGAAAGATGTACATACGGTTTTGCAGCTAAAATAGTATTTTTTTTATAAGTAGTTATGGGTACTTAATAAATAATATACATATATATGTAAATGGTTACATTTTATTTTTTTGGGAAGGCAATTGGCAATATAACAAAGAGAAAACTATACTATATCATATGATGCAATATTAGAGCGTTTTATGATCCTTATATTTTTTTTGTAATAGTGTTACAGTTTAGAAATTAGTAGCTGTGATGTCAAAAATGAAAACAAAACAATGTTTAGGTTAGAAAAAATGAGCACTTTCTCTGGAATTTCTTTTACCGTTTTGTGAAAATTTCGCAAGTTTTCTGAGGTTAGGCTAATGAATGCTCTAAAAGTGTTAACAAAATCAGTGTTGATTATTGATGTTACTGCATATATTTCTCCTGAGGATATAGAAGCTTGAAACAGGGTGATTGTTTTTATGAAATTTTTGGATGACGTTTCCTTGTTAAGATTTAATTAGTTACTTCACATGGAAAAACGATTAACCTACCTTTGTTGCAAGTTTTTTTTTTATTTCAACAAGTTACCAATTTTTTTGTTTCAAAAAGTGTTCTATCAGGAAACATCTGCAAAACTCGTCAAGTAACTGTTAAAACTCTTTTGAAACATTTTGTAAATTTGGAGAATCTTGTAGAAAAGAAACTTGAATATCAATATGGAGATGATATTTTAAACTGAATGATGTTTTTGTAAATAGTTGTAGATAGTTATTTTTTATAAATTTTTAACTACTTTGAAAATTGTTGAATTTTTATTTTTCAATAAGTTTTGTTTTCATATTTTATGAAGGAGACCTAACATAAAATTTTCAGTCAAATCTTATTTTGAATATATAAAATGGATAACTTGCGAAATTTCCACTACTAATCTACTTCATAAATGAAATAATAACACTATTTTTGACAAATACGTAACAAAAACACTGTTACATTCCAATAATCTTAATTATAATTTATTTGTGAAGATTTATGTTATATGAAGATTTATGACTTACTGATAAATGGCTTTTTTGTGTGTTGAAAGAAAACAGAATCAAATAATCCGAATGTCTTTAGGTGTTGAAAAACCACAATAATTATGTAATACATGAATGTATATTAAAATTTAAAAAATTGTTTCATTTTAAATTCCTACGGAAGTTATTCATGGGTGGAATATAGAGAAGGTAACAAAATTTGTTGTTGAAGAAACTACTTGGAAATGTTGAGACCATTTTTCAGATATAAAATAAATGGATTTGAGAAAACGTAGGTCCATGTAAGAACTCTGTCACATTGGAAAGGTATATCATTCGAATGTGGAAGTGGTTCTTTAGTCTCTTGATGCAATATCCTCCACTGTGCTAGAAATGTATCTATTAATGAATGGAAGAACCCATTTTTATGCGATATGTATAAATAGATAAACAATATAATTTAACTAAAATTCAAAATGTAGAAATGAAAGTTTAGTCTAAGCTCTTCATTCATTCATACATAACAAATAGATGTGTGAGAAAAAACTAAAACGAGCAAATTAATATTGGCAAGTGAATCCTTTGAAGATTAGATGGAACTTGGTAAAAAGTCTAACCCAGAGTTATTTGCTTCCGAGCCAAAACGGAGAATCTAAGGGTTTTATTGTTGAAATTTGACTAAAATATCTGTAACTTGTGTGAACATTTTTTTTGAAGGACAGTTTTATTATTTCTTGTTTATATGTATTTGACTCTATGTGGCATAGAAGTTTGTGGGCGAATGTCAGGTAATTCTGAATACATCTGCTTTCGAATGTGGTACATGAAAAATGAATCTAATATCGCTACAATGTCCCAATTTAAATCTTACTTTGAAACCTACAGATAGCATAAACTTATTTAGAACTTTCTCTAGATATACTTTGTGGTTTGAACATACAGGACTCCACACAACTGAGGCATAATCAAGAACTGATCTTATCAAAGTGTGTGCTGATAAATCTCTACTAACTCATAAAATATATCCAGAGTTCAAAACATTTGAGTGAAATTTCATCTTGTTAATTTCATCTCAAATATAACTCCCAAGTTCTTCAATCTCTCCAATATTTATCAGAAGTAAGCTGGGTAATCATGCCCAATTGATGACTGACACAGTTATCTTAATTCAACTCAAAGTAATTTTTTTCTACACCAGTCGGTCAAGAGGTTCAAATCATTTTGAAGTCTCAGCAATCTATGAAAGAAATAATTGTATCTGTTTTTCTGTTGACCGGCTGTCACCCCCTTACGAACGACAACTCTCAAAAATCGAAACTTGTGCGAGCTAAGGACTAACAAGGTCTTACCTTTTAACATGTTATTCCTAGCACGGGTTGGATGATAGGAAGTGAAAATCCGGCCTCGCGGCTTGAACCACCAGTTCACACAGCGGTAGATTGAATGAGTGGAGCAAAGCACCCACGTCAACCCGACCGGCTAAAATTTCTCAATATTATTTGTACAGTCAATGAACAGTAACCCTTTTGAGTTTGTTACGTGACTTGTAAGATTGTTGATAAAAATATAATGATTCACAGTGGCTACCCTGTGAATCTCTATAGTTCACATTTATTATATATAACATATAGTTTTCCTATTCATTTTGGCTACATAGAAAACTATTGATTCACTGAGGAATTTATACCTGAAATCAAAACATAGTTTGTGAAGTGATAGTTTGTGAAGAGATTTTCTCAAAAGTTTTTGAGAAATCTATAAATGAAGTGAACTTGATACCGATTTTCAAAAACAGTCAAGGTGTCTCTTTGGTAAATCAGTAAATTAGTAGTTGTGGATTTACTGCCATCTATCAAAGCATTTAGGCAATACCTCGAAAATTGCTCTGAAACAAGGCAATAACTGATGGTAGGAATAATATGAGATGTACTTGAGGTGTATACAGACGCACTTTTTCAATAAAACAAATAAAACCACCAGGTCCAAAGCTAAAACTAGTTTTCAAAGATTTCAAATTTTCAATTACGTCTATCAAATTAGTACCCTCAGTAATACCTACGGTATCTCTATAATGAACTTCAGGTAAATTCACATACCTCATTAAAATGAACAAATGAAAAGTGATCAGCAAATTTCACTGTCTCGACCATCATTACTAATCTTACACAAAAACAAAAAAAGATTTCCACATTTTTTGTATGGAAATGCAGAAGTAGAAGCCAAAACCTTTCTTTCCCAAAAATTATTCTCTCCTAAAAATATACCCTTTTCAATATAAACTATACCTATGGCTGGGATTAAATTAAATAAGCGAATTAATGTCATTACGTACTGTTATCAATGACATAAGTAGATTTAAGTCATTAGTGACAAATTCGTAATTTCATGAATGAATTGAGTGCTTAATCTTGTAACGTTCTCCAGTTTGGTGATGAAGAGGCAATAAGGCAATCGTCTTATTCCGAAACATCGGATGTCCACCATTGAGAATGACGGTATTCCATGTAAGTGCAATTTTTACTTCTTTCATATATTGTGTGGCAATCCTGTGAATGATATGTGATTCAATTCCATAACGAATGTTTGGAATACAAACTGAATAGAGAAACGTGTTTTTTGTATAATACAATGTTCACATAAAAGTATTTGTTTCAAAAGTATTTTTTTTTTGGTGAATTCAATGTTTATACGAAAGTAGTTGTTTTGAGAGAGCTTTTTCTTCCAGTTTGTGTCTGAAAGTTACTTTTTTGCATGATCTTTGTAAAGATTTTATTTTGAAGTTTTATAACTTTTTTGAAAGATTCCCACATTTTTTGTATGAAGATGGAGAAGAAAAATATCACAAACTTTCCCAAAAAAATATATACCTTTCAATATGAACTTGATTATTATGTTTCAAAAATGAATTATTTTCTACTAGTAGAATGCCCTTTTCTTCATTTTCTTCAAGTAGCATTTTCAAGATTTCAATTTCAGCTATTAAAAGAGTTGTTTCAGGGTTTTTTACTTCACAGTTACTGAGTTCTTATATATTTATTCGAAGAGCTGGGAGGGCTCCCCAAACCAGAGTGACAGTCACCACAAAGGAATAGTCACATCAATCATCTTGATTGAGCATGAATCTTGCATTGTTGAACTGTAACTGCCACGTCTAATAACCTAAGCAAGAATATGTCCTACTTCCACACGTCAAAAGCCCCTAATTCTTATTTCACACAGTTTTAAGCTTTTAAGGGATTTTCATGTGGGGACGACTGCTGGTTATATTCGAAATTCATTTTAGTAACCTATTCGTTACTAACTATAGTAGTACGAATTGCGAGGACGAAACTTCAGGCATAAAAACCTACATAACAGGACCAACAAACTCGAAAAATTGTTTTGACACAACTTTCCGGCTGTGCAAGTTTACACGTTTTGATAAATATATTGCACATAATATAATTAAAAACACAAAACGTTCAAATGTGGTTAGAAATTCATGGACGTTATGAAATGAAAGACTGGAAATCATGTTTTCATGGAATTTTGGAAATTGGATCATAAATATTCAATCCTAATAGATATAGGGGATGTATTACAGAATATAGGATAAAGAAAATACTTTTGTCTAATTTCTACAAAGTTTATTATTTGTTATCAAGGCCGTAGTGAGGGGGGGATCAAGGGGGATTGATCCCCCCGAAAGTTCTACAAGCAACGGCCATCCAAAAATTATATCAAATACAACGATTGACTTGTTTCAACATCACAGGAGCCATGAGAATAACACCAACCGCGACAATGGAATAAATTACTGGTCGAAGTAGGAATGGGTCAATTAAGGCTGAGCCTATGGCGAGAAACGCTCATTGTGCAACCTCTGCTGCAGGCAACCAGTGACGCAATTGAACCCAGGTTTGTGTTTGATAAACCCTACAAAATACAAATAAAACAGAACACAGAGTCAGATGCTACAAATGCAATACGGCTCAAAAACTAAAGAAGGCTCAGGATGTAGAGTGTATTCCAGATCATTAAGCCTAAGGATTAAGTGGGGAATGGGAAAAAATACCAGCGTGGTTCAAACAGAACTGGCTGGTATCTCAATTGCCACAAAAGAAATAATCAGTAGAGGAATTTCGAGCAAAAACTTAAGAATCTGCATTGATAGCAGACAAGCCCTATTAGCTTTGAACAAACGTGTTACCTCAGGGCTAGTACTAGAGTGCCACCAAGATTTAGCTAAAGCTTCGGTAGATAATAACATTATCCTGAGGTCGATTAAAGGATATTGCCGACCCTTTAGCCAAGGAAGCGGCTGGACTAAGAATTTTAGGACCCAGTGGCACCTGCGGCCAGATGACTTCGACATTTGAGGAACTAACCAAACGTTACTCCCATGCTCAATCCCTAAAGAGATGGGATGAAATCAAAGGATGCAATCTTGCCAGGATCACCCTGGGCGACCCTGGGAAGCTGGCGCAGAAGAAATATCTGGCGATGACCAGGAAAAATCTACACTTAACAGTAGGATTTCTGACTAGCCACTGTTAACTAGGAAAACACCTCCATAATATGGACACACCTCAATGCAGGATGTGTGAAGGTGAAACTGTCAGGCATGTCCTATGCGAGTGTCCGGTGTTGTCGTCAATAAGAGAGTGTGTGTTCAGCGAGTCTTGGCCTACACCTGCCGATATAAAGGAGATGTCTCCTAGTGATCTGTTCACCTTCCTAGAAAGGACAGGATGGACGATGACCTAAGAGGACAACTTCTCCAGAGGATGTACAATGGGTCACATGTGGCCTAAATGCTGTGGGCCTACACTCACTCTCCCTATTCTACAGATACAGATACTATTGTAATTATAAAATCCGTTAGAAATTTTATCAAGTTCTTGGCAAAACGAATCAAGTGCTTGAAAGAGAATATTGAAAAAAACTTCCCTGAAACACAATGGAAAAACCTTATGGCAATGTGCGTACAAACTTTTAAAGATCTTGGCGACACTACCTGTTTCCAGATTTACACCTGAAAAGACTTTCTCTTCTCTGAAACGCCTCAAAACTTATTCAAGAAACTCCACAAGCCAGGAACGACTAAACGGTTTGGCGTTAATGTCAATCCACCGTAGAACTGACATCGACACCGAGGAAGTAACTGATTTCTTTGTGCAAAGAAAGCTAGAAAACTAAATTTGATTTTGTAAAAAGATGTTAATATTTCTATAATGGTTTTTTTATAAATATATATGAACATGTATCACCATTTTTTTTCTTTCGTTATTTTTATATTTTATGTTTTTCTACTGTTCCACCAAACCAAACCCCCCGAAATTGTTTTCTGGCTACGGCCTTTGTTATGACCGGTTTCGGTTTGTTAGAGTTACTTGAGAATATTCTAACAAACTGAAAACGGTTGTAACAAATAATAATCTCAGTAGAAATTAGACAAAAGTATTTTTTTTATCCTATATTAATACGAATTTCTACAAAATAAATAGGTCATCAATCGGGCAAGGTATTACAGACTTTCATAACGATTGAGAGTGGATCAATTGATGTTAAATGGAGGTTATTTTGGCAAGGATATATAGAATGGCTGGGTCTAATTTGATATTTATCAATATCCACCTCTGGGAAGATGGTTCTTGACCTTATTAACACAACAGACAACTATTATCATATACAGGCAGGTCAGAGGTATAATATTTAGCTTCCCAGAATAGGTTAACAAATATATTTGTATTCATATATTTAAAGTAATTCAGTTTTCTTTGAATAGAATTTACAGAATAATTACCTTTTACAACTTCTTTGAACTGAATGCTCTTGTTTTGTTCTTTATTGCTGATAAGTGGAAGGTTAACCAAGAGGCAAGTCTTCAAACTGAAACCCAAATTAATCTGCTTTACAAGATTGAAGTATCTAAAAAATGAGTTTCCAGCCAGCCAAAATCTTCCAGAAATGGTATTTTTCAACAAGGTAAATGCTGAAATAATATGAAGGAAAAATGTTTTTATCATCAATTTATTTCATGAAAACATTTACTACATTTTTGATGTGCTATTGCAAACCAATGCATGTGTGTGACATGTCCATATTGAAAGTGGTGCAAATTTCACAAATTTTTCCATCAATATTAATAATGAAATATGGATAGGTATTCATTTTGAAAAATATGAATGAAAGTGCTCCTAATACTTTCTACTTTCATTATACAATTAAGGAAGCACAAAATATCTCGAATATTTTGTTCAATAGTTCAACAGAATTCTTGCTTCTATCTTGACGGCAGGAAAAAAAGGCTTTTTAGTTCAAGTTTGTTTTTATAAGCTAATCTTTCATTTATTCATAAGTTTGCAACAGAATAATTGCCCAAATTCCATTGTTTTGTGGAAAAAATTGTGAGATAATAATTTCTTTATTTAGAGGTACCAAATTAATTACGCTTTCCTACTGTATAAAACTGTTCAAAATTATTAACAATAATGAATCAACAATCAACACTGCTAAAATTTCTATTTTGACTTGGAATGATTCACAATACATTATAAATTACAGAATAGTCTACTTTCAAAGATCTAGATTCGTGATATTTTTTCCATCGATTAATATGATCTATTAAAAAAAAACTTGTGTGAACCCTTCCTCAAAAATTTCACTAGGAACGTTAAACTCTCGAAAGTTGTAATAATAGATGAAATCTCTATTCTACTGTCATTTATTCAATTGATAATATCTAGAATACCTAGAAGTTAGTGACATATTGGATTAATTCATTGAATACACAATAACAGAACAAAATAGAGGAAATTATCATCATTAGTTTCATGGGATCTCCTAGAGTCTTTCTAAGCAAATAGATTGGCCCAATGAAATACAATATCTGTCAAATTTCAGTAATTTTTCCATTATTGAACAAATGTTCCCTAGTTTTCGAAACGCTGTGGCAAAAGTTACCCTCTCCCTGTATATTAACTGTTCCCTTGTATAAGATCTTATTGAAAAGGGTGTTACGATGTTTAAAACTTGCAGCATGAAGAAAAATAATCACATGAAAGATATCAATACTAGTATTTCTAGTATGGAGGGCGATTTAATCAAAGCGTTTGCAGAAGTCATCAAGGAGTTGTGGTCAGAAGATTCATTTGATAGAGTAGTAAATACAGCCTCCTTAAAAAATCAGATTTTAAGTTTTGCTCCTCGATTCATGGGTAATTCCCATCAAGACGCCTAGGAGTTTCTTCGTTATCTTTTAGATGGTTTACATGAAGACATTAATATAATTAATAAAAAACCTAAACAAATTTTAACGGAGACTGACGAAAAATTGAGCGACAGCGGAAATGCACAAGAGTCATGGCTCACATATTTGAGAACGCATAACTCTAAGATTGTGGATAATTTTGTTGGTTCATTGAAATCCACGATGAAATGCACACACTGTGGACACTCATCAGTAACCTTTGATCCTTTCTGGAATTTGTCTCTCTCCATACCACAAAGAACCGACCATTTGAGTTTGTGGCAATGCTTGGATTTGTTTACAAGAGAAGAAACTTTGGATGGAATTGAAAAACCGACGTGTTTGAAATGCAAGGAAAGGAGAAAATGCACAAAGTCCCTATCAATCCACAAGTTTCCCCATATTTTAGTAATTCATTTAAAAATATTTTCACCATCAGAAAGATTTAGAGGCAAATTGAATGACGTCATCAAATGTCCTCTAGAAGGATTGGATATGGACAATTTTGCAGCAGAAAATGTGGCTACTTGTTGTATCTATATAGAATTTTAAATCACAGTGGCACTACTTACAGAGGGCAGTATACAGCATACTGCAGACACCCGTATATTGGCGCGTGGCACAAATACAACGATTCACACGTGTCACTAATTTCACCAAAATCGCTTGTGAGTGGAGAAGCATACGTCCTCTTTTATGAAAAGGATGAAACAAAGTGGCACTTTCAAGATAATAATACTTCAAATATCAAATTAGAACAGTGAAAACCTGCTGAGATGCATGATAAATATTTAAAAATATAAAACACATACAACATATATAAAATGTATATATAGTTCAAAATTGACAATAAAAAAAAATTAAAAAAATCACTTGATTGTGATAATGATGTTAGAATTTTCACTTCTCTCCCACAAGGCACTACATCAACTTTGGCTTTGCATATTTTAGCAATGAGCTTCTAAAATATGGTACAAATTCATTATTTGACATAAAATTTAGTGTCAAGAAAATACTGGATAGGACACTTTATACTATTAGAGGCTATTCACTGGTTTTGACAAGATGCTCATTGAAATTAGTTATTGGTTAAAAAAAAATCCTAACATGAAATAGGTAAACAGCCATTAACCTTGCAAACCCCATGAAACGCACTTTTGCAAAAAAAAAATAGGTATCTATAAAATTTTCCTCAAAATTTAAGTTTTTTTCGTATCATGAATTCAAGGAGCACATTTTTAAGAAACAATCACCTACACTAGAACTTTAATTATCAAATTTCGATAAAATTCTCTATTATTCAGTGTTTTCCAACAATTAATTATTTTTATACTCCATAAAATTTGTAAGGTGGATGAATTTTATAGGACAAACCAAACACAAAATTGTAAAATCAAATCAATGAATATCATATTAACATTATCAATTCTTCAGCATTTATAGTGAATAAAATTCCAAATAAAGTTGGAATGAAACCTTGAATATTTTCTACGACAGTTATATATCAAATTGCCATAAAACATATTTGAGTGAATTTAAGACTCGAATACATTTTATCAATAACTTGCGGCAGTGAAGTTGAATTCATTCACCTCACACTAATTAATAATATCTACTACCTCAATCTCGATTACTCTCATAAAAGGCAAACAATAAAATTCCTTTATATTCGTATTGGCAATCCTGGCTCTTTGTCGGTTAATTGCCGCCTCTTGGTTTCCTGCGCGTTTCTTGTACAGCAGCCACGAGACTTTTAACGGCTTCTTCATGACCTGAACAATAAAACATTGAAGTTCGTTGATCTCATTCTAAACGAAAATGGTATTCGAAGTGTTTATGCCAGATTCTTGCGCTGCGAAAGCAAACACATTCATGAGTTGCCCCAAATTTAAATGTGACACTTACAAAAGATGGATGTAGCAGGTGTGAAGTATCAACTTCGTATAAAATTCAAAGTATAGTTGACAAAAATGAAAAGTCATGAAATATTGTACAAAAATTTTAGGAAGTTCCAATGAGCCTTTTTCCTGAGAATATTACAGCGAACGTGTCACGAGAGGCAGTACTAGTAGTTGGGACAAACATATACTATTCACAAAATTTTGTTTATTACAGTTTGAATCTGTCGCTACTATTTTACTAGAGTCTGTATACTAAACTGCCAATTAATTAACTTTTTTTTCAGTTACTTTTAAATTATGGCATGCAAGCTAACGTTTTAATGTTACAACATTGTTATACTTTACAGTTGCAAATTTTAGTTTTACTCCAGGAACATCTTCTTGTGTTAAAAACATTATTTTTTAATTGTACTTTACCATATGTTTATATGAGGATAAGGCAATGTTTGTCCCTACCGAACTACTAGCGCTGCTAGTGAGTGATTTTTCGTACTTCAGGAAAAAGGTTCATTAATGTAAAGCAGTTCACTCCAAAGTATGGTGGCAGATGAGGGAAGGTCATTTTCAATTGACTTTACTGGGTACATGGAATTATTCTTTCAAGGAGTTATAAGAAAAATTATTTGATAGTTGAGAAAACCACACACCATCTTTTATTAACAAAATACAAAATATCTGTTATTTTATAATAATCTACCAGTCAAAAATTCGTGAGAATGTACCCAAAGACAAGGACTGTGATGGAGGGGAACAGTCATTTTACTATCATTACATTTCATTTCTTTCATCGAAATATTTTTTTTTATTATTTATAGATTTCACCTTTTAAAATAAGGCAAGAAATGAGGATCAGTTAAATTATTGCCAGTAATTTTTTGAGTTTTCTTTACTGAAACAAATTATCTCAACTTTGAGTCCTACTTTCAACTCATAATTAATAAACATCAAGCTAGCATTTTGCAAACCAATAATGAAGCCAGCTCGCAAAACTAGAAATTTCGGGTTACAAAAGTCAAATAAGATGTTGAACAAGAGTAACTCAAATAATAAAATCCTGGGTTCATATAACCAAGAAAAAAATCATTATCTTAAAGAGAAAGTTTTTATTATTGTCAATGTTTCTCATGTAAATGTTTAAAGCTTTTTAGATAACCTACTTTCAATCGAATTATTTTTAAACCCTCACAACATAGATATTGTTTGTGAGCCAATGCTCACAATATTTGTGGAGAAGCTCTCCTACTTGCAAGACAATCAAGCCTAAAATTGTTGAAATTTCAGACATCAGAGACTTATCTGTTGAATATCATATTGAACTATGTGTTATTGGTCTTAAAATTGAAGATGTAAAAATTTGCATAATTTTAGTGTTTGATTCAGTCAGTTGACATAGTCTATAATCGCGCCGATTATTTGATATCATGTGAGGATTTCAATATTGACTTTATGAAAATCTGACAAAAATACCAAACTTCTGTTATTAGTCTTATAATAATTACAAGGGCCATTCTAGAATATTCACACTAGTTCTACATGTATTGACTACATGGTTACTACACTTACAATTAATGTTTTCGATTGTAAAATATTTCAGCCAAATATAGCTGACCATTTGAGTCATTTATTATTGTTCTTTATGATCCCAATGAATCTAGAAAAATGGCCGATTCATCTATAAACAAACATCAGTGGCACCCTGTAAACTTCAATGAATTCAGAACAAGACTAAGCTCAAGTGATATGAATAATGGATTGTTTCAACTCTTTGAACAAATTTCCTGGTGTTGGTTGTATGATGTTTCTTGTCCTTTAAAAAAAAGTAGGCCTAAGAAATGAATCAAACTTGTGATTTCAAATGAATCCATCAAAGAGAGCAAAGAGAGAAATGTTTTGGTTAATTTCTACTAGCTGTAATGTAGACCCTCAAGCTGTGCAGGTTCCTAAAGAATAAAAGGAAACAACACAAATTGAAAATAAAAATGTCTCTATTACGATTCAAAAATAAGGAACTCCAGTAACAAACCTAAACAAGTTTGGGAAAAATAAACATTGAATTAGGAAATAAAAATAGAGCATCAGGAAACAAACCACCTATTACTCTCACAAATGAGTTAAATGTAGGAATTATCGATCCACAAGAAATCTCAAACCTTTTTGCTGAACATTTTTCATTTTCTGCCGAATTGCTCATCTCAGAACAAAATGTTTCACTTTCTTGTATCTTTTCTGTTAATCCCGTCAGTCTATATTCCCTTTCACAGAAATGGAAATTCTAATACTCTTGAAGCATTAACAAATAAAAACTCCACTCATATTGATGGTATCTCAATAGTTACTGTGAAAAAAAGTCTTGGCTTTATAATCGAGTCACTATTGTTCTTGATGAATCAGTTATATTTTATAGGTTGTTTTTCAAAAGTATTAAGAGGGCTCTAATATTTCTTCTACACAAAAAAGGTGATAAAACAGAGATAGATAACTACAGGCAAATTTCTTTGCTTTGCTCCCTCTCTAAACTGTTTGAGAAAGTTGTTGGTAATATAATTTTGAATTACATGGATCAAAACAATGTTAACTCGAAGATTCTCACGGACAAAGTATGATGAGCTGTTTTCTCAGGTTTTGCTTCGTATTTTGTGTATTTTATCCCCATAAGGATTATTCTCACAACGTTTCGGCAAAGAATACCTGAACAGTAAGTTGAATGGACTGACCCCTATCAGAAAACAACTACTCCCCTGGCTAATACCACAAAGGGCGTTGGATTATATCCGATAGGCGTCAGTGCAGGAATCTTCACAGAAAATTTCCTGCATATGCAATACAACTGAAAGAGTCAACCTTCAATTTTGGAATGGGTACACTTGCAGACCGGTTTCGGGCTCATTAGCCACTCATCAGTGCAAGATAGTGACCATCATCGAGCTAAAGTCAATGATATTCCATAATTGAAAATCGGAATTCTTTCAGAGTATTTCATTCCTCTTCCTAAGTTGGAACGAAAAACAAAATGCCACTCCATCTAGTGGACGAGGTATTAACTAACTGCAAATCCGAAATTTGCCCGATTCCTCTGAATAAGGAAGAAAAACTTTCTCATTAGTCAGTGGGCTATGCTTGAAGACTGGCAGTAAACAAATCTAAAGAAATGAACTTTAAACACTCAAGCAAGTCTCGAATATACCTACATAGTAGGTTGAATGGACTGACACCTCCCAGAAAACAACTACTGCCCTGGCTAATAATATGCAGCAAATTTTCTGTGAAGATTTCTGCACTGACGCCTGTCGGATATAATCCAACGCGCTTCGTGGTACATGGAAGACCACAGTCTGATATGGTATTTTATCAAGTCCCAAAGACGTAACGCTAGGAGTGCCTCAAGGTTCCGTCCTAGGACAATTGTTCCTCAACTTCATAAAAGGCCTCTCTGAATTCTTTTCGGATTGTCACATTACCATGTTTGCTGATGACACCGTAAATATTGTGGCCGGCAAAAACTAAGTAGTTATCAGACAAAATAAATACAATAGTAGATAAATTGAGTGCTTGGTGTCAATGCAACAAACTCATTCTAAATAAATTGAATAATGAAATCATTTAATTAGGAGAGATTTCAGCAGTGATTCTTACACATTAAATGGCATTCAATTATCCAGCGATGTTATGTTTAACTCAATTATGGATTGGATTATTGAATGTTTAGTTTTCGATGGCTCATTCTCACATGAACAATAATATCGTGTCTTCGGATCAGCCAGGGAAATTTTTTTGCTCGGAAAAGGTTATCGAGATGAATATTTAATATAGGTTTTCTAGATAGTTGTAGATCAATTTTCCTATGAGAGGACCTCTTGACTGCACCTTCTATATTTATCTTGATATGTGTCTCTTTCGTTCATAAAAATATCAATATATTTGTCACAAAATCTGGTATTCATGGTAGATATACCCGCCATGGGAACCTATTGAAAATCCCCCCGCATATTAACGCTCATTTACGATTTAAGATGCTCCCCACTATTTAATGCAATGAAAAGTTATAACAACTTACCGTCATCTATCAGGAAAACAGAGTCAGAAAAACGTTTTAATATTGAGGTAAAGAATCTACTCTTGCAGAAATGATACTACAGTCCTGAGAAATTTTTACATGACATCGTTTCTTGACATTTTGAAAGCATTTCGTAGTAGAGCTTCATCTCGGATTGTGACGCCTTTATATTTTTTATATAAATTTCAGTGTTGTGAAAGTTTTGTTGACATCAATTATATCTAGTGCTTTTCTGTTGTTTTGAATTTTTTGTATTTTATTTTGACTTATCACAAGCACTCAGTGTATTGAAGTGACAAATGAATATGAATAAAATAAATATGAATATGATGGTTTTTCCACCAATAACCATTCATCAGAAGGACAGATGGGATAATTTCATGAGACTTGCAGAGATGAACAATTTCAGTGATTGCTTAAAAGCCCAAATACTAGTACAGTATTCCTATAGTCATCAGAGTGTGGTCAGATTACTAGAAGTACTGTTTTTTGTTTTCAACTTATAAAAATTTGAGCAAAAATTCGATATTTACTATTTTGTAACTATTTCCTAACGCAGTTTTTGATCCACGCTTACAGTAAGCTGTTTTTCAACTTCGAAACTAATATTTAACAATCCTCATTTTTCTGATAAAATTAATTTCATTCCACAAAAAGAATGTTTTTCAATAGTGAATGTGAATTTTATAATAATTGTCATAACAACTGTATCTCATAATTATCAAAATACCTTCAAAACTATCTGCCTTTCGCAAAGGTGCCATGGGTGCTGGAGACGACAGTTTTTGACAAACATGGTGTCTGCGTTTCGGTGGAAAAGTTTCCCAGCTCCTCTGCTTTTGAGCCATCGTCATGTTTTTGTTTCGACTATTAATAAACACCACAAGGGTTTTATCGGGACCTTCAAAGCTTGAACGTCGGCTTGAAGTGCTCAAAGAATCTGCAGAATCGTGCATCGAGTAAAACACATTGTCCTCGCCATCACTGTAAGGATATACCTGAAGAAAAAAGCATATTGAATACGTGAAAATAAATGAAATCATTAATAATGACTGATTATATCATACTACTCGGCTTGGCATACGGCTCAAACCTTTGTCATCTGGGCTGGATAATTCTGCTCCAATTGAGAGATTAACTTCGAACATTTCGCCCATAACTACGATGGGCATCTTCAGCAGTGTTGGTAGCAATGCACTGCGACCCTCTCTTTGGTAAACTCATTAATGAGTTGTAATGGAACCACCAAGATTTAGCCAAAGCCTCGATAGATAATAACATTATCCTGAGGTGGGTTAAAGGGCACAACAGGAGTAAAGGTAATCGCATTGCCGACTCTTTAGCCAGGGAAGCGGCTGGACTAAGAATTTTAGGACCAAGTGGCACCCACGGCCTGATGACTTCGACAATTGCGGAACTAGTCAAAAGTTACACCCATGCTCAATCTCTAAAGAGATGGGATGAAATCAAAGGATGTAATCTTGCCAGGATCACCTTGGGCGACCCTGGGAAGCTGGCGCCAAAGAAATATCTGGCGATGACCAGGAAAAATCTACGCCTTACAGTAGGATTTCTGACTGGCCACTGTCAGCTAAGGAAATACCTACATAATATGCGGCTAGTGGACACACCTCTATGCAGGATGTGTGAACAGGAAGATGAGACTGTCAGGCATGTCCTGTGCGAGTGCCCGGAGTTATCGTCAATAAGAGAGTGTGTGTTCGGCGAGTCTTGGTCTACACCTGCCGATATAAAGGAGATGTCTCCCAGCGACCTGTCCACCTTCCTGGAAAGGACAGGATGGACGACGACCTAGGAGGACAACTCCTCGGGAGGATGTACAATGGGTCACATGTGGCCTAAGTGCGTGGGCTTACACTCACCCTCCCTACTCTACAGATACAGAGTTGTAATGGAATGCTGCCAACTACCGCTGAAGATGTCCATCGTAGTTGTGTGCAAAACATTCGGAGTTCATTTCTCCATTGGACCATGGCTACCCAGCAAGATAACCATAGTTTGAATTTAATTTCCGGCCGTGAAACGTTTAAACTTTGAATGTGTATATGTCTGTAACAGTATGAGGTGTAGCAGATGTGTACCAGCACAAAACGGTTTTGATTCTTCGATATATACATACAACTATTGTATTATTTAATATTGAACCACTTAAAACAAAAGAGTCACTCATATAAAATTCATAGTAGTATAACAACTGTGGTTGTGATAAAGCAATTTCAACTTTTGGTATTCCACAATGTTCAGTTCCACTCTATGAAGCCAATATCAAACATTTTACTTTCTTGGATAATCACTTCTCATTTGCAGAAGACTTTGCAATATTTTATTCAGAAAAGTGATCTTAGAAAAAATATAAGAATGACAAGAAATGGGTAAATTATCTCAATTCAACAATTACTCTGATTTCAAACTGCATAAGAATTTCTAATTAGTTAATAAATTTCGAGCAGCGAATAAATTTTCATGAAACAAATAAGTTTCCTAGTTTAAGTGGTCATGCATTCATTCTCTCGACAAGTAGAACTGGAATCTCCACATCAGAACAAAAATACTGAAGTATTATTCATCTCCTGATGATGCTAACTTTGTTAGCGAAACGCACAAATGATATGATGTTACTTGATGCAGCACTGTATCAATGATTTGGTAACTCTCGTAATCTCACAAATTATCTTGCTAATTAAACTTTTATTCTGTTTGGTATTACAAATAATAGTGCGGTCTTCAAAGATCTTGAAAAAATTAAGAGGTCCTTGTATTTTCTCAAAATTGAAATCACAAGCTTCATTTTTTTTCAAGTTATCGTGGTTCTTACTTTTGATATTTATTGTTGAAAATACCTTTTTCTTCTGTTGCTTAACTGGCAGTTTTCCTTTATTTTTGCATTTTGGGCTACTAGGACTAGACCTGGTTTCATGAGCCAACGTTTTAATATTTTGACTAGTGGCATCAGAAATTCTCTGATACTCTGATTCAGACTTAGTTTTTCTACTCTCACCATCCGATTTGCTAGTGGCATTAATTTTATCACAACTCTTGCCTATTTTCTTGTGCATGATCCTCTGCTTCACACTTAATTTTGCTGGAATAACAAACAATAACAGAACACATTTAGGATTTTAATTGAAAGGGGTATATTTTTAGGAGAGAATAATTTTTGGGAAAAAAGGTTTTGGCTTTCTACTTCTCTATCTTTATACAAATAAAGGGGAATCTTCTAATGAAAGGAAGAAGGAAGTTCATTTCAAAATGAACTCTTCACAAAGATATCATTTACAGGATTGCTACACAATGTCATATATGAAAGAGGTAATATTTCACTTACATGGAACACTGTCATTCTCAATGGTGGACATCGATATTTCGCAATAAAGCACTTGTCTTATTGCTTATTCAGCACCAATCTGGATAACATTACAAGATAAAGCACTAAATCCATTCATAAATTACTTCTTTGCATGATTTACACATCTTTGTAAAGAGTCTATTTTTCATAAAGATGCAAAAGTAGAAAGCCAAAACCTTTCTTTCACAATTAATATATGATAATTTTAAATTATATCATGGAACTACAATGGCAACACTTACCTATTGAGTCCAAGTCTGTTTTACTCAACTTTCGGTCATCTTTTCCCAATTGTCTGTCAGTTTCTGTATCGGATTTTGAAGTTGGTTGACTCTGTCTTCTATTTATGATATCATGTAATTTTTCCTTGATATGGGCCTCCAATCGATCAATATTTTGCTGCTGACTGAATTGGAAAAAAAATTCTACTGTAGCAGACGAGACCACAAAATCATAAATAACAGAAACAAAATTTACCTAGCCATAAAAGTCTTTTTAGTTCCCGGCATTTGTGTAGTTGACATTGACTTTTCAGTGTGTCCCGCTGCTGACTTGCTTCTTTCCCTTTCTTGTATATTAGGACGGACTTTTTCTAGTAATTGACCAAGTACTTTGCTACGTGATCTTGGTATTTTACCTAATGAAGCATCGGATTGTTGCAGGAGACCTAAAAGTTCAACTCCTCTTCTGATTGTATCCAACATTTATTCACGAGAATATAAAGCAGAAAGGTATATAATGAAAACGAATAGATTTTAATGTTGCTAACGATTTGCTGGAATTACTTGAATGCCTTCAGCCACGAGGTATGGCTAGAAAATAACGGGACTGGTTTTCTGTGAGACATATTGTCGAGTCACCTGACATCCTTCTACACATTCCAGCCGGTTGGACACTAGTATGCTCAGTTGGGTCGAAACATGTATCTGCTGCTCGTCGGAAAAAGGGAAGGTATTTCATTTCAGCAAAATGTCAGTATGAAATGTCTAGTAAAACTCGTAAATCCGCAACAGAGACTTATGTATGTATGTATGGGGATGAATGTATGTCACGTACACGGGTTTTTGAGTGGTAAGAAGAGCGAGAAAATATCGAAAATGATTCAAGCTCGTACTTTTTTCAACTTCTAAAACAGATGAAAACATAAAAAAATAAGCAATCTCATCCGTCGAAACCGCCGTTTTGAGTATTCGTGCAACGAAAGGGCTCACAAATGGAAATTTTTTCTGACGTCTTGAAAACCATCAAGATTCTAGATCCTAGACTGTTGGAAACATATATTACATGTGACGATGTTCAAATCAAATCATTCAAGGCAACGATGAATGTTTTTTTGATATCCATGGACTTCAATGAGTGAACTGAGTTTCTGTAGGACAAACAGTGAATACAGAATATTATCTTGAGGTTCCAGCCACTCTACATGAGCAGGTAAGAAGAAAGCAACCAGAGTTATGGAAGAACAAGTAGACGATGCTTTATCAGGACAGTGCTCCAGTACACACTGCACTGATTGTTAAGTAATTTTTGGTTACACATGAAATCCCTGAGTGTGAATATCCCCCTTTTTGCCAGATCCATCTAGATGTGAATTTTTATGTTTCCAAAAGTAAAGAAAACTTCGAAAATAACCAGAAGCTGTGAAGAAAAAGTGACAGAATTATGAAGATGCTTTCAGAAAAATGCACTATTTCAAACAGAGAAAAACTCTAATGGTAAACTGTAGGGATAATCGTGGGGGATATACTGAAGGGGATAAGGTGAAGGTTATAAAAGGAAAAAGGAAAAGAATCACACCAAAAATCCCTGTTATTTTCTATATAAACCTCATAAATATAAAAAATATATTAGCAAAATGTTAGCAATGGGATATATCTTGCTGATAATAGATGAGGTCATATACGTAATGAAGGAGAAAGTGAGAGAGAGAAGATTTGTTCTGATGATATATTTTCTTGACAAATGTCTAAAAAAAGAAGGTGAAATGACAATAAAAATATTGACTATAAATTTCATATCTAATTATGATAAGGCTTCAGGAAAGAAATAACATTCACGAATAATGAATAATAATATCAAACCTGGAAAAAAAAATGTTTCTTCCTCAAACCAGAAATGTATCACTCTTATCGACGCACGTTCAACCAACAAGTTGATATTATTGGGAAATGAACTGCGCTTCATTTTGTGATGATTCAAACTTTATTGGTGGACCGAACGTTGAGCAAAGTGTTGCAATTCGGGTGTGTGAGAGCTGCGTTTGTTTCGTGTTCATTTTAACCTTTATTATTATGTGCTTTATTGTTTTATCACCCTAATCACGACTTCACATACATATAATTTTTAATTGGATAATTATCAATGATAGGGTTGAATGAAATATTTTGGGGCATAGTTCTTTTGTAGTAGGCAGGACTGAATAAGAAAACATTCTGGAATTCTTAAATGCAACAATTTTGAAGAAAATATTAACCAAACATCCTTTATAAGAAAGATACACTTTTTTGGTCACCTCCCGAACTTTTACTCAACTTTGAATATATATAATCAGTTGAGGGAGTAACAACATATTCAGCCACCACATACATCTTCAGGAGTACGGTAGACAGGTCTAAAATTTGGGCATTTTCAATTTTGTCGTAAAGTTATATTTAGCATTCCAAACAATTTTCTCTCAATTTTCTTGAGGGTGATGTACACGATGAAAAATTTTTAAAATAGAAACAAGTGCATGTTCACTATAAATTGAATAAAGAAATCAATTTTACTGGACTACAAAGAATAAGTAGTTACCATGGTAGTAGTGACACTGTTAGGTCAATACTGTCAATACAAATATTTTAGAAGGCCAAGTTGGTGGACTGTGCAAATACCATAATATGGTTAGGATAACAGAAGAACTGATAAGAAAAAGATCAGAACACAACGAAGGTACCTTCTCCAATTCAATAACGCAATAGTTGACAATAATCATTTCAATTTCAAGGTATAATAGGCACTCTTGAAGAACTGTCACTACACCAAGAAGACATAGAGAAAATCGAACACATCAACAACTGGTGCAAAGAGTTGCAGATCTTATATCTTCAAGCGAATCTCATTTCAAAAGTCGAGAACTTGAACAAACTCAAAAAACTCCAGTATCTGAACTTGGCCATCAACAATATCGAAGTGATCGAAAATCTGGAGAGGTGTGAATCCTTGGAGAAACTCGACCTGACACTAAATTTCATAGGGAACCTCGAGAGTGTTTGTTCCTTGAAAAACAACATTTTCTTGAAAGATCTATATTTGACGGGTAAACACAATTGCAATCAATATGTTGATAATTTCCCCTCTCAGTCACTGGTGATTCCAAAGGTTTGATTTTGTGACACTACGACTATAATTATAGTTCTGTCTGTCTGTTTAAAATCTGTTTTTCCGTTAACCAGCTGTCGCACCCCTACGAACGACAACCCTCAGAAGTCGGAACTTGTGCGAGCTAAGGATCAACGAGGTCTTACCTTTTAACGTGTGATTCCTAACACGGGTTGGACGGTAGCAAGTGAAGATCGATCGTTCAGACTAGAGCTTGAACCACTGACCAACACGGCAGTCAATTCGAGTGAGTGAACAAAGCACCCACGCCGAACCGCTTGGCTACCGACCGACCATTATAGGAAACAACTATAATTATAGTTGTTTCCTATAATACCAACCTAAGAAATATTGGTAGTTGTTTAAAATTTCTATTCAACATTCTACCTAGAAAAAGACATTTACAAATCACTCAAATTTTAGGAAACCCTTGCTGTGACTTTCAAGGATATAGGGATTATGTAATAGCCCATCTTCCTCAGTTACAGAACTTAGATGTAAAGGAGATAACACATAGTGAAAGAATTAAAGCTCAGCAGAATCTTTCTGAAAATGAAAAACATGTTAGAAAATGTCAGGAGAAGTACAGGTAGTTTTCTTCAATACTGTAGATAGGATGCACAAATATTGAACTTAGTTTTGTCACACACAATGTTTTACTAAGAATACTGGAAGTCTCACTAAAATTTCATCACGAGTCAGGATTATACCCAACATTAAATACTTTTCAGGTCATTCCGTCAAGAACAAATCACACGTGTATCGAGAAGTAACAACTCAAGTATTCAAGATGAAGAATTTTGGAAAATGCAGAGTGAAAACTGCCCTGAAACTAGAGTTGAGATAGCGAATCGTCAACAAAAAAACAAAAAAACTGTTGATAAAAAAGACACTTCCGTCAAAAAATCTGTTAGGCTATTCTCGAAAGACGGCAGACCTCTCAACATCAATCAAGCTAAACTTGACTTCACATTCAGCGATGACGATCCTAAGCAGTTTGTTTTAGATATTGCTGTTTATAAATTTATGGACAGTAACTTGATAGAAGTCGATTTGCAACCGATATATGTGAAAATAACTATCAAAGGTATATTTTATCCCTTAGTTCACCATGTCTGATATTTTTTAATGCTTTTTCAAATATTTTAGGCAAAATATTCCAAATCGTTTTTCCAGAAGAAATATTCACAACTAAAAGTATTGCCCAGAGATCACAAACCACAGGACACTTGTTATTGAAACTGCCAAAAGTTAATTACAAACCGCCAATTCGCCCTGAATGCAACACCTTAGAGAAAGAAAAAAATAAAAATGAAAAAAAAACTGAATATCTGGAAGTTAACGAAAAGAATGGAATGGATTTTAGTAGAATTGTTGAATATAATAACAAAGTCAAAGATTTGTATGACGATCCAGAAATTCCTCCACTAGAATATTGTTAAGAGGCTATATTTTTCAATGAATGTAAACTTTCGTGACTTTAAATAAATGTGTCAAAGCTATTTTCAGGCTTTGTTAGCCGTGTATATTATGCCTGAAATTTTCCTCCACGACAGAGGTATGCATTAACAGGTAGTAATCAAGAAGCACTATACCAGCTGGGTTATTTATTTATTGCACGGGATCACCCCTTTTATAATAGTACGAGCATCAAATATAATGAATATTCATATACAGTTTAAAAATTGAAGAAAGGACTAAAAATTCAAAAGTGAGATTCGAAGTAAACTCAATCACGTGAAAATGAGTAAAAGCACTAAGATAAACATAGTTATAGATCATACAATTTAAAATACAGAAGTGAATGGCAACAATAATATAAAAGATATACTTTAAGTAAACGATCAATAGGAGAGAGCATTCTATAGTTTGTATGATGAAAGGAATCGTGAAACAGATCATTATTTCTGAGAGTTCTCTTTGGCACATGTAAGTGATATGTCTGAAAAAGCTTTTGTATAGCGAAACACATATTAGGTTTTTGTAAAACTGTTTAGTGAAAATCTCACGAAGTGTTTCTTGAATATGTTATAAATTTTCATCAAATATTGGCCGATTCTATCACATACTATCAAGTAGTATGCACTGCGAAAAAACTAGGCTATGCGTTGCCTCAGTCTATGCGTTGCGTTGCCTTTGAGGTCTACCACAGTTTTAAAAGAAACTTTAGGCATAAAATCCTTCAGACCATTGCTAACAAACCCGGAAAATAGCTTGGACACAATTATGTTTTTGTAAGTTACTGATAGAAAATATCAAAATACCAATTTGATTTCAATACAGGCATTGAAGAATGTGGATAACTGTAATTTATGGAATTGGGTTAACATTTTCAGTGAACTTGGATGCTCAATACACTGTAACAATTTTTTTTCAGTTGAGTTTCTTACATTTCTTTAATGCATCAGGTTTTTCATTATTCCTGCGTAATACATTTGATTCAACTTACTAATGTAAAAACACATTTTGCAATATTCTCTTTTCATTATAATTTATTATATAGACAACATCAAATGGCAAAGGACAACTAACCTCACTTACCAATGTGCTCCAAAAGTGCCGCCAGATGTTGAGCTTGTTCACTTTGACCTTGGCCTGCTTCACTATGGCTACTCTGAGCTTGCTGAGCAGGCGTCAGACTTTTTATAAGTGGTTCCAACTGTGTTGCTAACTGAAAATAGAGGTACAAAAGAATAATCCAAAACTTCATATCCTACATAGAATAAAATATTGTTAATAATAAAATACTGTGGTCGTATTTCTGCATTTGATTCTCAACACTTTTAACCATGAAAAGAATAAAATAAGTGGAAATCATAAGAAATTTGTAAATATTCCCTAATTGTTGAATTTTACTTCTTGACCTGGCATTTACAATTGTATATATTGTGTGCTTCAATAAAGTCTATCTATCTGTCTTTACCAATTTTATATTTTTTCAGATTGTGTAAGGTGAAAACACCCAAAAAAAGTTTCATAAAAAAGCCTGATTTCATTCTGCAAAAAGTTCATATACTATGAAGTGGTAACATTAGTGCCTATCAAAGTGTATATAGTCCATAACTCATAAATACATAATTTCACTGCCAAGTGAAACTTACTATAGTACAATTCCATAATAGTAGGAACTAAATTCTCACAAATATTGCATTAAAACGAAAACATTGTTGTCAAGGTTGTGATTTTATAAATTTTATCATCATTTTTCCTCATCTGCTTAGTATAAATAATTTCCGTACAAGAAACAGATTAAGGCAAAAATGTCAGTCATTTCTGAGAATTTAGTGCCTACTATTTTGGAATTATAGTATACATAATCAGAAGATACAATTTGAATTCTGAATTCAGGTCAAGAAATTACTCTTCTTATTTATAATGAACAATAAATACCTGCTAGGTAAAAACACAAGTGTTTTTTCATTTAATTCCTAGTAATTATGAATATCCATTAATTATTGGTCAAATCAATGAAAATAAATACCTGACTCAAGTGCTTGAGTTCATTTCTCAATGTATTGACATCAGCCCTTTGACAGCTGAAAACTTCCTGTTCGACTCTCAATCTCCACAGCTGTTCTTCCCATGAAGCATCAAACACAGAGGCCATTCTATCAAGATCTTGCTGTTGTCTGAAAAGAATGATTTCCTCATATTACTAGTAGATGGTTAAAGCAAGGGTACAAAAGATTACAGTTTTACATAGGAGTACCTTACAAATGCAAGAAATGTAACTAAAAAATAAGTAAAAAATCCATAGTCTAACCTTTCCAAGTTCTGATCCAAATGCAAACACTCTCGAATCAACACCTCATATCGGGAGAGTAACGGTGGTGTCTGAGCCTTTCTCAAAGCAGATATATCTTTGTGAAGCTCTCCGACTTTCTCTTTAACCAAGTTAAATTGCTGGTTTAGTTCCCTTATTTGAGATTCAAATGATCGACAGTGGGAAGAGAAAGAGCTTTCTCCTTCAAGAAGTTTGTTTTTTAGGGCACTTTGCTGTTTTTTTGTAGTAGGGGGAGCAGTGTCATATACTCTGGAAGCTGGACAATAAGGAACATTACTTTTATAAGCAGGGAAAAATGTATTAGGAAAAATGAAAAATATACCACTAGTGGTATAAAAGCATAGGAAGTTTTATTTCACATTTTTCATGATGATCTCCTACCACATAGTGAATGAAGGCTACTTCCATCTATTTACACAAATATTTTATGTAGTTTAAATGGAAACTGACCTGCAGCTAATTCCGTCTGATGCTGACTGACAGCGGCAGGACCAATCCAAGGTTCAAGACACTGAGCGAACTCACTACGATAGTTAGTTTTTATCTGTGACGATTGCAAAGATCTACAATTAAATAGAGAGGAAAACTTCTATTAATTACAACTTATTAGTCATTTATTTGGTAAAAATAAGACTTGTGGGATTGTTCCGAAACAGATACTGTCCACATAAACTAGAAAACTTCTGCCAATTTAGTTGGTGAACACATTTTGTGAAAAGTGTTGTAGTTCTGGTGTAAAGAAACAGAATTTGTTTCAGATTCATTTTATGCCTAACGTTCCAGATCTCTTTTTTATTATAGGATCATATCTAACTTTTTTAGTATGCATAACACATTCTCTCCACTAAAAAAATTATTTACCTCACTGGTTGGCTCAAGTTCCCAACTACGGCAAGTCTTTCGATAAGAGAGGGGCATAACTCCAAAAACTGATATTTATTGGCTGCTGCAGTGAAAGTGGTGCATAGTACTAAGTGCAATTGAAGAACTGGCATAACAGTGCCTAAAAATATAACAAATAAAATACAAGTATTTGTTATTAAATTTGTTAATAATGAAATAATATAATGAAGAATGTGACAACTGTAAAATACAGAAGCTTGCTAAAGCATCATACAAATAATTTGTTTTTTTGTAAGTGGACTGTAATCAAACAAAAATACAATTTTGGAGCAAAACAGTGGTTATCATATAGGTATCCTTAAACACAATACTTTTCTTCATTTTTGAGGAATTTAAGTTTCATTTGTAGTACAAAGTGCTGCAATTGACTTTGTTAATCACATAACCACTGAATCAGATAATAAAAATTGTATATCAGTATTTATTGATCTTCAAAAGGTTTTCGATGTTATGGATCATAGAGTACTTTTAACCAAATTTGAGGCAATGGGTTTAAAAAGCAAAATGTATAATCTCAAATCTAGTCGTCTACAACATAGTCAGCAGTGTTCCAATTTTAAAAGTGGTAGGTCAGTCCATTCATAATTTGTAAATAAATACATTTTCAGATGTTTCAATTATAGTACCCGGCCACTGCACCACACAATACTTATAAAATTTAAACATCATCTTTATGTGGAGAAACTGCTCGTTATTTGTTCCTACACATATTCCAAAATCACAATTTTGGCAAATCCCATGTAGCTTGGTGTAATTTTCAACTTTGAATCAGCCCACTATTGCCTACTTCATTATGACAAGGTGTAAAGTGGATAAATTCAAGTATTCCCATGATGCAGTTGGTGGTACCATGCCACCTCTACCTTTCTTTTTACCCTGTCTTAATATTGGTTATTATTCCCATACATTTAACCTCCTTTGACAGTTGTAAATCTTATTAACCTTGGAGTTAGTCCCTCTTGGTGAATGCTACAACAGTCAATTCAGATGGGCTTATGTTGAGCCCTTTTTCCCCAGTCCATCTTGTTTCAATATTGAGTGCGCATTGCATGCGTCCCCTAGCTATATTATATTTGCCCTGGACTAGAATGACAGTCACCTGCAAAGTCCAGTACTTTAAATCTATTTTTGCTCATATGTAGTAACTCATCTATTACAAGGTACCATAAAAGTAAAGGCATCCCGTTCCACTCTGTTTTTCATACAACAATTATGTATACCAATCTTCCTCTAAGCAAGCAATCTATCCACCTGCAGCTTCTATAATCAATCTACCTTCACCTCGAGACGTATTATCATGAGCTGTCACCCAACATCCAAAAAACAGCTGAATGTTTTTCCTTGTTCTTTCAGCAGGATTTGTTCAGTTTTTGTACTCTGATCTAATCTAATTGCTTATCGACGACAAGTAAAATAAACATAATGAAAAATATATTCAATGAAAATTCACCCACAAAACAAAGAGTGGATTCATACACCCAGTCTTAGGTCGAAGTCACAAGTCTTAAGGAAGTGTAAGCAGTTGATAACTAATTTTCAATGGAAACATTCAGGCACAAGCTTAGATACTATCTTATACATACATAAGTTAAGTTAGGTCAAAAGTGAGTGGATCTTTTCGACCCTCCACCGCAACCCGCAATGGTTTATTGTGGCTCACACCTATTCACATTCGACCAAATCTGTTTAAAAAAATCTGTTTTTCCGTTAATCTGCTGTCGCCCCCATACGAACGACAACTCTCAGAAATTGAGAAACTTGTGCGAGCTAAGGACTAATGAGGTCTTACCTTTTAACGTGTGATTCCTAACACGGTTAGGTTAACGAAACCGATTAGTTTGTATGGTGAGTGGTCTTTCAGGTCAGATGATAAGAGTATGGCTTTACCGAACTCTAAAAAAACCAGATTCGGTCCCCAGCGGGGCAGGCACAAAGTATGTGCTCTGCTGTTTCATCTTTGTCCAAACAGAGGCGACATACACTGTCTTCTGACACTGTCTTACTCATAATATTTATATGCTCGAGTTGTAAGTTTTTACTAGTAACAAACGAAAAACATCAACCCTCAAGACTTGAAACTTTGGACATAGACTGGTTCGTTAATCCACCCTAAATAGATAGATAGATTAATTTAAATGACTGATTTACAATAAGTTTACAGCATGTCATACATTGAAAATAGTCATAGAGCGACATGTAAGATATAAACTGATAAAAAACTTTTCATAACGTTTGGATTTAACAGGACATTACAATATAACATAACTTACACATTAGAATATGTTCACAAATATGAATATACAAGTGAATGATTATTGCTTAATAGATCATTAATCAATAGATTATTAATTGTTTAAAAATGCAACAATACTGTAAAAACAATGGTCGAAAAGTATATTTCTAATAGCTCTTTTCAGTTTGATATTATTCAGTGAACACATTTCTGTAGTCAACTTATAAAGTTTGAAATTTATGGAGTTCGTTTTGTACAATATCTTCAATGATCCTCAGTAAAGGCCTAATTGTTGATTTATTCTTCCGAAAACCATCTTGGGTGTTTGATATAAACTTTTTTTTTTAAATAATCTGTCAGCCTATCTTCCAATAATACCTCCACTATTTTTGAAAATATATTTATGATTGAAATTGGCCGAAAGTTGCTTAGAATATTGGGATCATCTTTTTTAAACATTGGTAAGGCTCTTGATATTTTGAATTTGTCAGGAAAAAGCCCTGAAGTGAAACACTCATTGATTAGGAGTGTTGAGAGTTCAAACAGTAGTTCCGATGTCTCCTTAATGAGCAATGCATTCAATTCGAAGGCATCTACTGCACTAGAATTTTTCAGTTATTTGATAGCTGAGAGTATTTCAGTTGGTATGGTTGGGGAGGATAAAAAAAAACTGTGTTATGTGATGGTAATTTTCTTGAGAGATCAGTAGGAGAAAAATGGGAGTTTGGTAAAGTTTTGATAATGTTTTCTGCAACTATACTGAAAAAATCAACGAAGTCGTCAGGGTTATGATAGGAATATTCATTTTTATTGTCATTTTTACGGTATTCAAAATTTATGATTCTCCAGCTATCTTTAACTAGGTTAGTAGATCTAGTGAGAAAGTTCTCATAGGCGAGCCTTTTTGTATTTGTAATCGAATTTCTGTAGTCGGTTTTCAGTTTTTTGTGAAATAACCTATATTCTGGATTGTTGGTATTATTGCAAATTATTTTGATAAATGATAGATTTTTTCTGGTGGCTTATTTGGGGGACATATCTTTAGGGGAAAACATTTCTGTACAAGATTATAAGTACTAATCAGCCAATCGGCATATTTGTTTACGTCATTTTCCAAAGATTCAGAAAATAAATGCCAATTTGCTTTTTTTACCAGATCACTGAAAATTGCTTTTGATTTTTTCGTCCTCTGTATTCTGTGACCCACTATTATTTCCGATCCGTTTAAAGGGACACTTATATATTGTCCCATGTGGCCTGACAAACAAGGGTCATATATTCCTACGGTACGATTTCTGTCTATATCTGTAATTATATTATCGATACAATTTGCAGATTCTCAGGAACTCTTGTATCTTCTTGTATAGTAACTTCTAGATCAAAAAATTTCAAGAGGGATAAAAATAGTAATAATTCAGAAGATTTTTATCTGAAATTGATATTGAAGTCACCAGTCAAAACTATTTTGAAATTTTTAGTTGAAATATTTGATAAGAGTTCCTCAAGGTGATCAAGATAACGATGAAATTCACCTGCACATGATCGATTTGAAGTAATCATTATGATTTTCAAACTGAGTAATTCTGAATAAAATAATAAATAAATAAAGTGACATGTACTCAGTTACTTGCCAAGAACTATGAGTTGACTTCTATAAATTCGATCTTTGCTCTCAAATTGACGTTGCACTTCCATAATCATGGTAGCATGAGTTTTGGCCATCGCCTCCTGCATTCCTTGGCAGAATGTGTTTATGGTGTGCTTCTCACTATCCATATTCCTTCTCAACTCATCCATGAGCCCTTTTAGAGCTATAATGCCATCTCTTACTGATGTCTGCAATCCAAAATTAACAATTTCAAACTTGGACATTTAGCAATAAGCTATTTTTCATGAAAGTGTATGGGATTTCATTTCTTACCTTCCAGTAAAAATTTAGCGTGATGTCTAGTTCAATAACAGAACCAATACAGGTAAAATATTAGATATAGATAGATTTATTAGAAATGATGTCCTAATATACATATAGATTATACAAATATATCAGTTGTTAAATAAAATAAAATAAACCAAAATATATAAGACCTATACAGTAGAATATAGGGGGTAAAAACGTAGCACTAGTAAATGATAAAGAGGTTAATAGAGAGAAGAACGATGAACAACTCAGTTGGAATAATAGTGTGCTCGTAAATATTGAGATAAGGAGCGTTTGAAGAGTTGGAGGGTGTTACTTTGTTTAACTTCATTAGGAATCTTGTTATTTGCCAAGAATCCTCTGTGAAATATAGAGTTCATTGTTCTTGCAAGGTTTGTTCTTGGGACAAAAATTTCATCTCTTCCTCTTGTATCGTATTTGTGAATCTGATGGTTATATGAATTCATTGAAGTAATGTGGTGCTTTTCCAGTGAGTATCTCAAATATGAAGATCATAGAAAAATATCATAATCTATCTTTTACAAGAGTATACTTATGGCATTTCAATAACAAGTGCATTCCTTTGTTTTGTGACTTTTGTAGAGTAGAGATAGAATTACCTTCTAGTAATGATATCAGAGTAGCACATTAATCAAATTCATGAGGATATTTAAACTAAACAACTTTTTCAGTTTACCCACCAGGTTCACTCACCTGCAGATCCATTATTGCATTTTGTCCCCTCTCAAGACGTTTAGAAGCTTGAGCATGTGCTGTCTCAATATCAACACATTGCCCACGAATGTCATTAGGTGAATCTCTGAAGCAGTTAACACACAACATGGCATTTTGTATTGGAGAAAACATTATGTAATGTTCACCATGTTGAGGACACTGCAATTATAAAATTCAATAATTCAGAAGTATGATCACTTACAAGGTTGGTAATAAAATTAAGTCTGATTATTCCATATTCTAGTAAATTTAGAGATGAAGCAAAATAATTTAAAAGAAATTGGAGGTGCATTAGACTCAGCCATTTTAGCTTCGCCTCTGATATGAGTAGAAGAAACAGTGAAAAGTCGTTGTGCATCATTTAAAGAACTTTCCATTCTGTCTGTTGTACACTGACTTTTTTACGCTTTCTTCTATGTATCTCAGAGACCACGGTAAGAAATCTATGAACAAACCGCATATTTGAAATTTGCAGTCAAGAGAAGTTATTAAGTGTTCATTGAAGTCATATAGAGCTGTTTCAGTACTTCGATTATTCGTAAAACCATGCTGATTCGATGAGAGAAGGTGATTTGCTGTTAAAAATGTTAGCAGTTGATTTTTAATAATCAACTCAAATAATTTGGATATACTGGATAGTAAACTTATTCCTCTATAATTATCATATGTATTAGGGTCTCCTTTCTTGAATATTGGAGTAACTAGTGCAACTTTTAATTTTTCAGGAAATATGCCATGCTCAACAGAAAGATTAATTAGATATATTAATGGATTACACAACTCATGAGCACATTTTTTAAGGAGATTGTTTGAGATACTGTCAACTCCGCTAGCATCTGAATTTTTGAGTTTATTCACCATGTCAAAATAACCAAATTCTGTAATTGGACGTATGAATACGGAAAATGGCGAATTATCAACATTACCTTCCATAAAGTTAATATCAGTGTCCCCGTGTTGTATGACGCGAGTAAAATTGATATTGAAATTATTGGCCACATCAGTACTTGAAACTTCATTTTCACCATCGTAGATTATATTTTCTTTATATTTGTTACCCGATTTTTGTATTTTTCGAATAGTTTGCCACATGGTTTTTGTTTTGTTAGTAGCAGAGTTTATTTTGAGATTATTGATTATAATATTGTTATTCCTGAGTTTCTCTCTATAAGTTTTAGTTAACTGCTTACTAATATTCTTATACTCATTATTTATTCTAGCACATTCTGAATACAGAGACACCAAGTTTTTCAACTCAACGAGTTCGTTGGTCAAGGGGGCTGATATGCTATTTTTTCGATGTTGGTTCCGTCTCATAGGAAAAGCTACTTCAATATAATATTGAATAGTTTGGTGAAATATGTCATATGCTTTGTTTGGACAGCTTTGAACATAAAGGTCATCCCAATTTTCACTAACTAAAAGTCTTTTGAAAGTTATAATATTTTCTTCCGAGAATTGTCTTCTATAGCTACTTTTAAACTTTGTGTCATTTTCATGTACTTTAAATAGAGGAATATTAATTATTTGGGCATAGTGATCCGATATATGGAGGTCTTTGACTGATACATTATATTCAGCTTCAGCGTTAATGAAAAAATTGTCCAAGCATGTCTTTGAGGTGCAGGTTACCCTAGTTGGGACAGATATAGTATTCTCCAGATTGAAAGAAGCTAGTTGATCTTGTATAAGATTAAGATTCATACTACTGCCAAGAAAATCGATATTGAAGTCGCCACCTATAATCACTTTATCATTATTTTTACAAATAAGTGTTAAGAGGCCATTGAGAGAATTTAAAAATATTTCAAAATCCCCAGATGGTGGTCGGTATATACACACTAGTGTAGTTTTATGTTTTTTTAATTTGATTCCACAGCATTCAAAAACCCCTTCTATACAGATACCCTGTAAGTTGAGTATATCATATCCAAACTTACTATCATCATTTTTAAAAATGGCTACACCACCATTTTTCAGTACGTTTCTACAATAAAAGGTACAAAGACTGAATTTCTGCAGTTTCAATACTTCGAGTTGATTATGATTTTGCCAGTGCACTGAAACGAGTAGATAATCACAATACAGGTTATATTCAGAGATTACATCTAATTGAATAATTTTGTTACTCAAACACTGAGTATTTTGGTGACATATTACAATTTTACTGTCGACGCTAAAAATGATGTAAGTGGCTTTATAAAAGTTTGCTTTTTGATGTCAATCAATCAATTATAATATACTTCATTGATCAGGATAAAAATCATAATAGCAAAGCTTGTTATAACTGCTAGGGTTATCCAGATCGTAATATGCTTTTAGAAATATTTTTTTTATATTTTTAAAATTTTCAATATCCTCTATTACAAATTTCATAATGAATGAATATAGATTTCAGTTATGTTCTATCAAAAAAAAAGAACTGAAAATATCATGGTTCGTTTTTGTTATACAAGTACCGTTGCCTTACTGGCAAATATATTGTCTTTTCGAAAGTTTTGATGTTGTGTATTTGTAGCTCCATATCTCAATAAATATTTATTTTACATTGTCGCAGTGTAAACTGACCAATAGAACATTTTGTACTCTATACATTGATTCTGTTAATTTTTTGACTTTTTTCAGCATATTTTTCGGCCAATTTTTCTTTATTAATTCAAACTGAACCAAAGTGCTGCCAAGGCAGCCTGAAAAATTAACTAGGCATTTGGCAATGATAGTGTTAATGAAGGCACCGTTCGACGTTGGTTTGCAAAATTCCATTCTAGAGATTTTAGCCTCGAAAATGAGCCCCGAATTGGTCAACCTACAGTATTCAAGGATGAGGAGACTGACCCATCACAAACGGTTCGTGGGATGGTGGAAGAACTAGGCGTCAGCTAACATGCGGTTTTTGATGTTTTCAAAACGTATCGGAAAGATTGATAAGCTTGAAAAGTGGTTGCCGGACGATTTGAACGATCGACAGAATCTGTCACGTTTTGAGGTCTGTTCTTCATTGCTTTTGCGCAACCAAAACGGTTCGTTTTTTGGATCGGATCGTCACGTATGAAAAGTGGATCCTCTACGACAACAGGAGACTTTCAGGACAGTGATTGGATGAACTACGCAAACACTTCCCAAAGGTGAAAACCTACAAAAAAAAAAACACGATAACTGTAAAGTGGTCAGCGACTGTTGTGATTCACTAGAACTGCAACCGGGCCAAACCATCACAGCAAAGTCCAATCGTAAGGAAATCGACGAAATGTACCAAAAATTGCGTTAGCAGCAGCCGGCACTGGTCAACAGAAGAGGTCCGATCGTGCTCCACGATAACGCCCGCTGTCCAAAAATTAAAGGAATTAAACTTTGAAGTTTTGCCTCACACACCATACTCCTCAGACCTCTCAAGCACTTCGATAACTTTCTCACTGGTTGAACCTCCGCCAATCAAAACCAGGCAAACACGGCCTTCGTCGACGTCATCGAGTCCCGAGCACTTAATTTTTAATCTGACGAAATTAATCGAGTTGAATTACGTTGGCAAAACTGCACTGATTCATATCATGCTTATTTCCATTAAATTGAATGAGTATTCACTGAGATATTACAGTTTATATTCATAAAAACTTTTGAAATAACCCAATAGTAACTTCTAAGAATGAGAATTTGTTGCATATTGGCAACGGATGTTCAAATTTTATTGTGTGTTGAGATTTCAGATATAAATTACTGTCTGCAACTATATCATGACATATGATGTGTCATCTGCAAACAACATAAATTTGCCTATTAAAACTTTCAAAATTAAAGTAAGAAGTTAAATTGGAATAAAATTGGATGGAAGTTCAGTTACCTCTTGAATGATTATTTCATTTTCAGACATTGAAAATTACATGGGAGACTTCAAGGAATTGAATTTTAAAATTGGTTAGATCCTTCAACCATTAGAGACAGTTCTACAATTACAGTGACAATTTCTTTTTGTTTTGGGGTGCATTAATTCTGCTTTTATCGAAGTTTCTTACATGCTCTGTCGCAATTTATAGACGCAAAAGTGATACTCTCTATTGAGTGACAGTTCAATTAGTTAATGCTTCGCCTATAAAGTTTGAAACATCAGCATATACACAGATCTCACCTTTTTGGGCTCTTTCATGCATTTTGTCATATGGACCACTTCGTGGGTTGAAAACATTTTGGCTCTGTGGGTATTATCCCGGCAGTGTGAACACAAAGCTTGGCCTAAAACAATATTTTGATTTGAATGAGCTGAATAATAATTGAGAAATAATACATTTGTACTGAACAATGAGCGAGATGACTGATAATTGAAACGTATTCAACAAAGTACTTCTTTTCGATAAAATCAAAATTATTGTAAAATAACATACTCATTTTCATTTGTATCAAAGAAGTTTTTAAGACACAGATTCAATATTTTCATTAATTATAAATCATAACAGTTAACAATGGTCAGCAAGTAAGACTTGTTCCAGACGAGACAATTCTATCAGTTCCTAGAATACCTTTGTTTTCAAATTAAAAATTATTTTTCAATAAATAAACATTAATATTTCCAGTTTCCATAAAAAAATAAAAGAAAAATCAAAAAGACACAGTAAATATTCATTTTAATGGATAGTAACAGTTTTTGAAAAAAATAATCAATCTTTACGTATTTCAGGAACTAACTTTTAGTAAACACTCAAAATATGACACCTTCCTCTCACAATAGCATGCTGCGGATTTTTATTCACTTGCCACTTAGTTTTTTCAAATACAAAAAAAACTTCACGGTAATTGTTCCTGAAACTGAAATGAATATAATAATGTCAAAGTTATATGGCTATAAGAAATGGCACTATGTTTTTAGTCATTTGGAATGTGCCACCCGCAACTGATTTCATGTTTAGTTTGTGAAGTGTTTCATTTAAAAGAAATCTGAATTGACAGGAAAGTACCATTTACCTGTTAATGAATAAGAAAGCTTTCAATGATCTTTTTAATTTCTAGGGCAAAGTTAAGTAATATTTTGGAAATTTGGCGCAACATAATTTTCTTTAGGTGAGTGTTAAAGTCATGATGCTGCCAACAATTATTATCAAAATCTAGATCAAAACATTTAGAAAACGAATCCAAAATTTATTTTAGTTAAACGGAAGTTTTTTATTTTGTGTGAACATTTGAAATGGGTGAATGAGATCGAAAAAGGTTGGCGTTGCTCCAGTCTCTTCCAACCATCGGAGAACCAAATTTTGACTTCAGATTCATGCTTAGTGGCTAAAAATACTTGGGTGAAAACTAGCGTGATTCATTGAAATGAATATTCACCAAAACCTATGTCATAAATACAACTAAAAGCAAATAAATTAAAAAACACAAACCTAAAAACAGAAAACTTGAACAATAAAATGAAAGTTTCAATAATACCACAGGTATTGCAGTAATACATATTTGCTCTATCACGTTTATCACAATTGGAACACGGAGGGTTTTCACTATTCGCAATGTCAATCAACTGGCGCATCAATGTGTCAGCTGGGGGCAGCATAGACCCATCTTTCAACATCGTAGGTTGTCTGCAACAGATGAACTTATATCAGAACCTAGGCAACCTTAAGCAAATCCTTTTACAAATCTGGAATCCCAGGTATTGAATAACAAGAAAAACCAGATATCATACCTGCAGAACGGACAAACTAGTCTACGATCTTGCTCTCGTCCTCTCAAACACCTCGCACAAAAAGTATGGTAACAACTGAGAATGCATGGCTCTGTGAAATAATCATGACAAATAGGACAAAGCAATGGATTTTTTGGAAATTCCAAACCACTTTCCATTCCTGGCGGTTCCATTTCTAGATTGCAAGCACTGAAATCAGTATGTTTGTATTAAAGTGAACAAGTTTAATTCAAGAATTTACCTAACGAAGTAGATAATACCGAAAAACTATTATATAAAATTATTAAAAATTTAAAGTACAACTTGACACTTGGATAATGAGAAGAGTCAAGAACAGCATTGACAGTTACCACAACCAGATCAGATGATGACAGAATAGTAACAATCAGAATTGGAACTCTAAGGCGGCGCCTCTGATCCTTATTCGGTATTTTCAGGGACCTTGATTATATCTCGGTATAGATCTGTGGGTCGGCTCTGCCTAATACGTACAGAAAAATTCAGGACCGTCTTTAATTTTAATACCACTTCAGATATTTTGAATATATTCTGACAAAATATTTCAAGATTGAATGCTGAACATTTTGATATGATACTCCGAACATTTTCAAATATTTATACTTTTGCATACAGTAGGGTCCATTAAGCACGCAATAAATCGATTTTTTTTTTCTATTAGTTGCACAATCAAAACTAGATTACTGTCAAAAGTTAGTTCATGTTCAATAACCCCATTGAATGTACTTGAAATGGCTTCAAGTCAATCAGCATACAGGGCAGGTCAAAAAAGATTGAATTCGTTTTCGAAATATGAATTAGTTTCAAATTTTTTCTTCGGAAATCATGACCTATAAAAATACTGATATCTTTGAGTTGAGGACTACTAAGGTACCGAAATTTGGTTTGGAGTTTGGAGGCTTTCCACACTTCAGCGTAATCTCCGTTATTTCAATACAGGGTCGTAACAAATATGTTTTTCGTTTGCTTGAGAAAGTGACTGGAAGTTGATTATTTCAAATGGAACACCCTGTGTACTGTGTATTATTACACATGTTCACGTGATCGCCCAGTGTCAGATGGAAAGGGCAGCGTTCATTGGTGAATTCGCCTTTTTGGTACGAGTTCGGTACCACCACAGGGTTGTAATCAGTCGTTTGCGTGTTTGTGTGGCGTGCGTTGTTTAAAATTGTTTTCCAAGATGTCCAGTACAGACACTGCTGATGAGTCCTCTGAGTCCAGCCAGGAAACGATCCAAAAAAAAAGAAATTTGAGTGTTGAGATGAAAGAAGTAATTTCAAATGTGTTCAAGAAAGAGATGGAAGAAATTGAGACATCGACTGTCGACGAAGTCGTATCGAAAGTTTCCGATAAAGTTGGAGTGTGTTGAGCTTTGATTTACAATGTTTTACGGGAATATAAACAACATCATACATCTTCCAAACCGAATACAAATCATAATCGTCAAACCATTATAAAATCAATAGATGATGCTGATAAACATGCAATCAGGAAAGTGCATGAGTACTTTTTCAGAAATGAAATACCCACGATAGAGAAAGTACTCACAGAAATAAATGAAGATGTTTTATTGCCAAGTTTTAAGCGGTCAACATTCCATAAAGTATTGAAACATTTGAATTTTGTATTGAAAAAACGAGGGCGCAATAGTTTATTATTGGATAGAGAGGAAATTGTGTTATGGAGGAGAGAGTATTTGACCAAAATTAAAGAACAATTTATTATATGGATGAAACCTGGGTTAATGCTGGTCATACTACCCCTAAAGTATGGGTCGATGAAACTGTAACCCCATCTAGGAGGGCCTTTCTAGATGGACTATCCACCGGATTAACAAATCCATCAGGTAAACTTATATTTACCCATTCTCCTAATATAAAGTTCTTATAAATTTGTCTATTATTTTTGGACAGTGTGATTAAATTATCAAATTACCTGATTAGATTTACCTGACTATTGCATAAGGACACACTGTAAAATTAATTAAAGACAAGTAGATAGGGCAAATTGTAAAATTAATTTATGACACTCAAGTCACAGGTACCTAGAACAGGTACCTATGGTATAAATAAGGATAGCTTTGTAAGTATGATAAGTCCCGGACATTTTCGACATCGCACTAGTGCAGAACATCGAAACTACGGAGATGGAAGTACTAGACGAAGGTTCGTCAGACCACAACACCATTCTATTCACAATAGGAAGAGGTGAAGTGGAAACAGAAAACTCAACAAAGCGAGTCATCGACTGGATAAGATTTCAACGCGCCATACACGATGCGATGGGTGAGATACCACGCATCGAAACAACAACGGATCTGGAGAACGCCACGGAACAGCTGCAGCAGGTGATTATCCAAACAATGGAAAGAAGCGCACGGGAAGTCCCAGCCCCACGCTTCAACTTCCAAGAACCGCTCCCACCAGAAATGATGGAACTGGATACTAAAAGAAGAATTAAAAGAAATTCGAGACAGGCAATGAACTACTCGTCTGGAAGAACTAAACACTGAAGACCAGTCTGCATGGAGAATGCAGAAAGTACTCAGAAAAGGACCTCGACAGCCATGCCCACCAATACACGGCGAGCAAGGAATCGTCTACACTGACCAGGAGAAGGCGGAAGCATTCGCGGACAACTTCGAAAGGCAGTGCAGAGAGAACCACGTCCCGTTCACGGACGAAGTAGACGAAATAGAGTGACAGGTGGAAAGAACAGTACGAAGTTTGAGACATCGAACGAACAACGCGCAACCCCTGGCCCTGACATCTCCCGAGGAAGTGCTCCACTCGAAAAGCTCCAGGCCCGGACAACATAACAAACCGGGCACTGAAATTACTACCGCGCAAGGGTATTACAGCCATAACTAACATTATAAGCGCTATACTCATATTGCAGCACTTCCCGTACCAGTTCAAAGAGGCAACGGTTATCCACATCCTGAAGCCCAAGAAGAACCACCTGTTCCCAGACAATCACAGGCCAATAAGCTTACTACCTTCTACAAACAAAGTGTCGGAACGTGTCATCTTAAAGAGACTCGAAGATCAAACTAGAGAGCTAGAAATCCTCCCGGATGAACAATTCGGTTTCAGATCAGAACACTCGACAGAGCTACAATCCTGAGGGTAGTAGACTTTTCGACCGAAGGCTTCAACCTCGGCAAAGGACACAACACCGGTGCAATCTTCTTAGACGTCTCCAAGGCGTTCGACAGAGTTTGGCATCAAGGACTACTGGTCAAAATGAGCGATTTCGGACACTCAAAACCAATGGTGAGATTAATTCAGTCTTTTCTAGCTGACAGGCGATGCCGATGCAGAGTAGGAGACGAGCTATCAACAATTCGACTACTGGAAGCAGGGGTCCCGCAAGGAGCAGTCCTTTCGCCGCACCTCTTCTCCGTATACACAGCGGACGTGCCCAAGCCGGAGAACAACAGTTGACGCTCTGTTTCTGATGTGGTGGTGGACGGACGTGCCGACAGCGACCGTCCAAAAAGAAGGCACGCGGACGCCATTGTTGGGGACGAAACTCAGTTTGTGTTGTGAATGTCTGCCGTCATAGAACGTGCCATCATTAAATTAAACATTTTTGTGAACAGTCTATAAGTGTTGAAGAGAAACAGCACTCCCATTCACGCCGGTTGGAGGCCGGGGTGGACCGGATGTCCACGTGGGAGTGTTATAGTGGATGTACATAACTCCTGTCCCCATTCACGCCGGTAGGAAGCCGGGTGGACCGGATGTCCACGTGGAGACAGGATTTTACCAAATAAATGTGTTAATTATGTATAAAAAGTCTTGAAGTTTCCAAAAAATATTAGGTGTTTTTGTAAACACCAAATCTAATTAAGAAAACAGAAGTCTTGGATTACAGCATGATTCACAATCAGACCAAGCTGTAACCATCCGAATCGAGCTGGCTAAATGCGCCTATCTGGAAACAAAGGCCAAGAACTTTGAGTGAAGTGAAGTTGGCGCTCTTCGCAGACGACACGGCCCTGCTGGTGAGATCCACGAGCCAAGTGCATGACCTAAATTCATACTAGCCGACAACCGGCAAGCAGCAGTCAGTTTGTCTGCCCGTAGAGTGTGACGTAGTGAAAATTCGAACATGATCGAATTTACAAATGAAGAGCTTTGACAAATTGCGCTTATTTTGGATAAGGAAAAAGAAAAGTTTAAAATAAAGAAGAAAAGGCAAATATGAAATATGGATGCATGCATGACCATGTTATATTTCTTAGAAGGAAGACGAGGGCTGATATCACACATTGTTTTCGGCATAGGCCTTTTCATCACACTTTTTTTGTGCGCGTGCGTCAGTATCAGCCATCTCATGCCCGCAACTCATGTTTTAAAAATTAAAATATTAATTGAAGTTTATTAACTGTAAAAAATTTTTAAAAAAGTAGTAAGTCAAAATAAGCAGAAAAAAATGTTTATACTCCATTATAAATATGTTATCTGTACGAAAAGAAACAACAAAACAGTGTTGTTATGGAGTATGTAAAAGTGATACACGATACAAATCATTCAAAACCAACACATACTATTTCATAAATTTTCCAAAGCCTTATTGTCTTGAATATCGTAAAAAAATAATCAATTCATCAAGCAAATTACATGAAAAAATGTAGCAGGAGTGACAGAGGCTTTAAATCTATTGATGATGTTACCAATGATAGGTACTTATATTTGCTCTCACTACATTTCATTGGAGAAAGTGGTCCAACTGAACAAAACCCTGATCCTTTAAGCTATCAGGAATTTCAACATACGTATATTATTCCTTATTGCATTTTTTACTGTAAATTTCATATATATTATGTTGTATTCAATATTTTCCTCTAATAAAAATTACTAAACATATTCAATTCAGTATTTACATATTTGTCTAATTAATAATGTTATATGTACAGCCTCAAATGATTAATGGCTTGATTTATTTATTAGTTCCATAAGTAATACTCTTGTCAACTGAAATATATGTTCAATTAGGTACATCAAATAAATTGACATTATTATTAAGAATAAAACTGTAAATACTATTTTTTTATATGTTTTATGATAGTAAACAAACGCTGATACCTAATCTCTCAATCAGCTCACAATTATGAGCCTCAACTGAATTATAAACAAGTGAAGCACCATCAATGGTTTTTTCCAATAATTTATTTGTTTGTAGAGATAATATTCCTTGCCCAGCCATTGTTGATTAAAACAGTACGAATCTTTTGAATTACCGCCATTTCAATATGACGGCTACGCTTGCGCTCGTCTTATGATGAAAAGGCCTATTAGAGAATGATGAATTAATATTTTATAAATATTTTAGTATGTCTAAACAGCAATTCTTCCATCTCTTGATGTACACATATTTGATATTTTTACAATTTTCATTTGGACATATTTCTCAGACAAAAATATTCTGCCACTCCTGTGAATGACTATAAAATACTCTGTTGAAATAAATGTATCTATATATTTATAACAGATGTAGAATCTGTTGTAAAAAATAGTGATAGTAGAATATTAGCAAACTCAAATTTTGGAAAAGCAAGCTTTAGCAAAAGATTATATGAAACATACCACCAGATACAGTTTTACCAAATATTAATACACTAGCACCATATGTACTGGTGGGAGATGATGCATTTCCTTTGAGACGCTATTTATTACGACCATATCCTGGCACAGCCATCTCTGGAGATACTGAAAAACAAATATTTAATTATCGGCTCTCCTGTACTAGGGGAGTCTCTGAAAATGCATTTGGTCACCTAGCTCACAAATTGCGGCAATTTTTTCGATCTATGAATGCACTGCCGGAAAATATTGATCTATATATTTCAACAACTTGTATTTTACATAATTACATCAATGACATATTAATTTTGCTAATATTAACACTGATACCACTTCCACAGAACCTAGAAGTGAACCAATATTTAGAACTCTTCCTTGGCAAGATGGTAATGCCCAACAAGACGCATTTAATCGTAAAAATTTCAAAGTTTTTTTTGGAGAAGTTCCCTGGCAACAGAACCAATTCTTATAAAATAAGTTTTCATTTCTATGTTGAGTTGTGGTATTATAAACCTACCTGTTTTGTTAAATTTTTCTCCAACCTTTCTCCATATTTTTTCCTTACAGATGTTATTACAATAATTTTCTGAGGCCGTGTTATATAGGGCTTCACATTTTATCACTTCTATTAAAAGTTTGTTTTGGCTAAGGCTTTCTTCGTCACTCATAGTTTTACAAACAAGCAGATATTTTCAAACAAACATTAAACCTATGTATACAGAGAAGTCAGCCAATTCACACTAACGTATTACAAACGTACAGTCGACCCTCCGACAAGCACCGACACGCAAAATATTCTCTCGCGTGTGATTATGTTCATTGCTTAAAAAAAAAATCTGTTTAAAATATGTTTTTCCGTTAACCAGCTGTCGCACCCCTACGAACGACAACCCTCAGAAGCCGAAACTTGTGCGAGCTAAGGATCAACGAGGTCGTACCTTTTAACGTGTGATTCCTAACACGGGTTGGACGGTAGCAAGTGAAGATCGATCGTTCAGACTAGGGTTTGAACCGCCGACCAACACGGCAGTCAATTCGAGTGAGTGAACAAATCATCCACGCCGAACCGCTTGGCTACCGACCGTATTCTTACATTGCTTGCAATGTAAGAATATTTATCGTGACGTTACGTATATTGGACTCGCTCTTTAGTGGTTTCATTGCTCTATTCCTGCTACCTTCCAACAAAATGTTTCATTCTCGACATTTGCTCACATAAGACTCATCAACTTATTGAATTTATCCTTGCTGCATCTGTTGAATAAGTTCTCTGTCCCACTTGTCCATATGTCTATAGTAACTGGCATTCCAATTTGTTATATAAAGATGATAGGGATGTGATTGTTGATGTCACTAATCCCAATAATTCTCTTACATAGAACTTCTTCGAGAAAATATTCGCGTCCAAATATCGATTTTAATGTGAACCGTTGATTGAAGGAGGTACTGGAACTTCACTATCGACTGTGGAATCATCGACTATTTTTTCCAATAACCCTCAGAAATGAAGCCAATCTTCAAAATAGACAAAAACTTCTTTTCCATTTTATTAAGACAATGAATGCAAAAAAGTTAATTCTAACTGTTTTTTATTTAAAGTGATTCAATATAAAAAACAACACATCATTAACAGTAAACAAATATATTTACTCAGTTTAGTAATACACATAGCATAGTTTATAAAATATGCCCTCTGCATAGTCAGTAAATTATTACATTAAACTTTGGAAAGGAATGCATATTGATCATTTTGTCTATATTCCTTGAATAATTCTTAATGTAGAAAAGTCCCAGGGATGAAAATATTTGAGTCCTCATCATATATAGAATAGGCGAACTTTCGATGTACTGATGAGCAGATCATCATCAAAAAATTTTGTTTCTATCACAACGTTGCCACTGAAAAAGAAAGGAGGTTGATTATATTAAGCATTAGCAAATATTATGGATCTTAGGAAAGTGGGTCCTGCTATAAAAATGTTCAGCTTGCCACAGAAAAATCTTTGTAATAGATTCAATATAATGTGTTTAAATTAGTAACACGTTATAAAAATTATAACTGAATGAATCATTCAAATATCCACATTCGATAAGGATTAAGTGATTGTCAAATTTAGTAATACTGAATTTGTCCTAATTAATTCAACTTCTATGAATGCAGAATACTGTACACTTTACATCATTTGAAAAATAAACCTTCCTTTTTTTTATTTTTGTAATGGGTCAATAAAAGGACTTGACGAAATTGAATCCATACTTTATTCAAGTAACACTTTATGTAAGATTTGATGGAAATTGTTCAACACATGTATTGCCATACAATAGCTTCCTCAAGCATTTTCATATGAAGCTATTTTACAGCGAATCGTTTGTTGAGGTTTTGTAAAATTTCCAGTGAAGATCTTCCGATAAAGCTTTACTTGCATAAAATGTATGTTTCTCTGGAATGTTCATTTGTGAAATTAAACGGATTTATTCCAAAATGTCAGCAAATTATGAACATATTTATGACCTAATTCATACTAATGTACTGTACATAATTCAGAAATTTCATATGATTGATAAAAGTATATGTTTCTAACCACTTTAGCTAAATCCACGTTCAATATGCCTTAACTTCTGGCTGCCTTTGGCATACTACAATAATCATTATAACACCACTAACTGTATCAGAAAACACAACAGATTTCCGAGTTACTGTAGTTTTATAAAAACTGTTGATGATATCAAACGCCAATGGAGAATGCCTCAAGGTCGATATCACTGATGATACATGGCAAATCAAAACAGAGCTATCTGAAATTTGATCAAGTACCACCTGGTTGAATTGTTATTTCTGTGGATCTCTCTCTTTTCACAGGATAGTACAAGATGCTGATATAATTGAGCTATTTAGTTAAACAGGTGTAGACGTTTAGTTCACCCAAATCAAAATATACTATATTCTTTAATCATAATTATTAATGAAACACTTACTTTAAGACAGAGGCGGGCATCATTTGTGATTCCGGCGCTGCTTCCATAATAGATTGCCATGTATTTGTCGATTCTGGCATAACAAAACCAAATTCGAAATACCATTCTTCAAGACATCTTCCTTTGAATAAAACTTTTTGTTCCAACCTGAATTTGTCGATCTTCTCTTTGGAACTAAAATTAAACTCTCGAGATACTGCACGACATTTAAGGATGTTTTTAGGTACTCGAGCTTCATGTTCAACGTCCGGATAACTTAGATCTTCGGAGCCTTGCCAAAAAATTTTGCCACCATCAGCGTCTCTAAGGCAAATCCAATTTATTTGAAAACCTTTCAAAATATCTTCAAGATTTTTGCTTTCATCTGACATCGTTGCTTCATAATAGATACATGTACATCGTCATCATAACTATTTCACAGTATAAAACTTTCTACTTTCTACCTTTGTTTGTATATTATATAGATATACAAAGTTTCTAGTAAGCTGTGGTTTCTAGTGTGACTTCTTCTTCTTAGTTTTCCATTGATGGCTTCAGCTACCAGGCCTATCTGGCCAGGAGTTCAAGACTCATGTTGATACTACAGATAGAGCCAACACTGAATAAGTTTCTACTGTAATTTGGGGTCAAATAACAAGTAATGCCCGACTACACTAGATTATAATCACTACTGTGACGCGATGCACTATAGCTACGTGTCTGAGCACTACAGTCAAGTTATGATTGGCGAACCACTGATGCGCACAAGTATTAGGTTCTACCGTAACTTCTGTACACATGAGACCAGTGATTCCAACCGTTCAAAAAAAAAATCCCCCAAGCCTATTCTGAAATCCCATAAGTTCAAACTGAGGTACCCTAAATTTTTGTGATATTTGTTTTCGCTTGATATAATTACGGCAGTAGATGAAAAATATAATTGGAAATTTTTCATTATGACAAAATCCAAAGAATTCACCTGTAAATTGTTATTACCATAATAGTTTTAAATAATAAGGTTCAATTATAATATTACAGAATATTCATAGAAACAGTTGACTCATTTATTGCCTTTACGTTAGTTTGTGAAATTTACCAATGAATAAATTGATTAATACATAAAACGATGACATGTATTAGATTTTTGTTGTTCATATGTCTCAGTATTTTTGAAGTCATACATTTTCACATTAAACATTTTCAACATATTAGAACACGGAGTAAAATTCACACACGAACAAAAATTCCTTTGAATGGTGAAAAGTATCATCATTAAGATTTGAAGCAACTCCAGTGATAATTCATTTCTTTGTTCATTTTCAGAAAAACTGTAAATGGAAAATGCTGTTGTTATCCTTTTTTCCCCTAAAAAATACCCTAAATAATTTTTCACCAGCAAAGTTCCACTTATTTAAATTTTTCTCCCTAATATAGGGGAAAAATTCCCAAGTTGACATTACTGACAGAAAAAATTCTTCTTCTTACACATTTATTGACCTCACCAAGTAAGGCTATCTGGTCAGTTGGTAACGAATGTCATATAAAACCAAATGTGGTCACATTCAAGTGAGCCTGGGACAACCCATCCACATTTGGGTAAAAAGTAGTAGTCCCACTTTTTCCTGAAAAAAAAAAAAACTTCAATTTTTCATTGGTCGACTCCTTCTCGGGAGTCAATCTATTCATGTTCGCCAGTTTTTTCAGATTTTCACAGCATTCCCAAACCAGTCCCCATGTCACTTTTAGGTTCATAAGTTCCCCAAGTGAAGCCTGAGAGTCTGTGAAAATATTGATCCACGCATTTCGTTGAGGTCCCAAACTTATGAATTGCGAGATTGCATATATCGAATTCTGAAAAATAAATGTGCATCAACCGAACAAACAACTGATATGTCAATTTCTTACCATACAATAAATTCCAGCTTACTCTCCATGTTTGGTTTTCGACCCCTCTGTGTATCAGATGTTTGCTAGCGAGTATATTCCTGAAATAACTATTTATTCTCTATTTTCAAATGCGAAGTATGAATTGGCCCGCCTTTTCTACCATTATCACAAGATTTCATGACTTTAATATATAAGTTTGAAAATTTCATATGACAAAACTGCAGTAACGTTAGTTACAAATAAAAGAGTGGTAAAAAACAGAACGTTTTCAATTCTCTTTTCTACAGTACTTTATATCCATTACGATCTTGAATACGGCACCGCCAGTCCTTATTATCATGTCTATGCACTTGACTTACAAAACGCGGGGGTTCCGTTTCCGATATGATGGTGGACGGACGTGTCGATAGAGACCGTCCACAAAAAAGTACGCGGACGCCATTGTTGGAGACGGAATTCATTTTGTGTTGTGAATGTCCGCCGTTATATAACGAGCCAGGACCATTTCAATACTAATAGTGTTAATAAAAAGTGTTGAGTGTTAAAATAAATAGTACTCCCATTCACGCCGGTTGGAGGCCGGAGTGGACCGGATGCCCACGTGGGAGTGCTAAGTGGAATAAATTTATATAATACCTGTTTCTATTCACGCCGGTTAGAGGTCGGGTGAACCGGTTGTCCACGTGAGAGTACGATCACAACTATAATTTTTTATGAAGCAGACGATAGATTATATCCAGGCACAGTAGATCTCCAACCTCAGTAGCACACCATTCCAGACACAGGCTTGCAAGCTGCAAGACAGTCTTTGTCCCCCGACGAAGCTTTCGTTATGAAACAGCCAGATACGTAACAGGAGGAGCATTGGTCAAACGAAGACAAGAAATAAAATACTTGGGGGTCATGGTAGTTAAACATCTAAAATGAAATGTCCATTATAATTATGTAACAAAACTTCTGAGAATGTTGTTCAGACAGTTTTATGCTTTGAGGGACATTCTAAATATATGTTCAAATATTTTATTTAAAAAAATAGACTACTTTCTTCTGAAAAAGCTTCTTAATGTCCGATGTCTATATACTTATCATTGCCTAACCTTAATTTGCATTAATAAACATAAATTTGAGCATGCACAGCCAAAAACTGAAATGAGATCTATCCGGAATCTTTCACTCAAGCTGCCTCTCTTCAAAAAAACTCGCACTGAATGGTTTCTGCTTTGTCGAAGCTATACAGAGTGTAACTAAATAACTGTAAAACATTTAAGAAGCTGATTCCTCATCGAAAAAAGATAGGATCTTTCATATTAGGAAATTTCATTGGAGCATCACTTGTTAAGATACAGCCCCTTAAAGGGGGTACATAAAATTTGTATAACAATTTTTTTCACAAGCACTAAATAAGTTACAGTATTGAAATTAACCTGACGTTTTGTACTACCAAAAAGACACTTGGCCAGAAATTTATTTGGTTTACCCCATGGTTGTAACGGGTGGAAAACGCAACCCCTAAAATTTATTTCCAATGTAACTTTTTATCTTATTATTTGTTTACCATTTAAAAATTTATTTCCGATAGCCTGTTTCATTCTAAACAAAAAATGTCTCCTGGTTTTTTTGCCCAAAATAAACCAGTTCGCAGCAAAACATTATTTTAGGAACAACTACAGAGATACATCGTCATAAATGCTAAATACGAAACTAATCTATCTAGTAGGTCGCTATTAGCGATAGTGACAGTTAAATTAGTATGACGCTGTCAGTTTGTGAATTTTCGAAATTGAATTAATACTAATTGTGTGTTGTTGTTCTGTTCTTAATTTGTTACTTTAATAATTCATTTGTTATTAAAATGGCATACACAAATGAGGAAATAGCTGATATGCATTACGTTTACGATATGTCGCAGGGGAATGGGTTAGAAGCTTCTAGAAGATATGCTGAAATGTATCCTCAACGGCAGCATCCTTCACGTAGAATATTTGCTCGACTTCATCAACCATTACGAGAATATGGTTCATTCGACAATAGAACGCAGGATTGTGGTCGCCATCGAGAAGTACGAACACCACAGCTTGAGGAAACACTACTTGATTTGATTGAAGAACAACCTACTACCAGTACTAGAAAGATTGTTTTCCAGCTAAATGTTGATCATATGACGGTATTTCGAATTTTAAAGGAACAACTCTTATAGCCTTACCATCTGCAACGAGTACAGGCACTGTTACCGCAAGACTTTCCGAACCGTCTTGAATTTTGCAATTGGATGCTGGAAATGATTAGAAGAAATTGTGACTTTCTGAATACGATATAATTCACAGACGAATGTAGTTTTTCTCCTATTTTAGTCAAGTAGCACGTCAGCATTTAACTGAAACATATGCAAATCAGTGGATAGTTCAAGGAGGACAACAGAACTGGCCCGCTTGATTCCCGGATCTCAATCCTCCCACCCCTTACAACCATGGGTAAACCAAATAAATTACTGGCTAAGTATCTTTTTGGTAGTACAAAACGTCAGATTAATTTCAATATTATAACTTTTTCAGTGCTTGTGAAAAAAATTGTTATACAAATTTTATGTATACCCCCTTTAAGGGGCTGTATCTTAAACAAGCGATGCTCCAATGAAGTTTATATGAAATATTCTATCTTTTTTTCGATGAGGAATCAGCTCCTTAAATGTTTTACACTTATTCAGTTACACCCTGTATATTTATGGAGTATTCTCCATAGCTTACGTTTGGAAACGATTCACGATTCTTGTTCCATCTATTAACATGTGTACAAAGTTGGGTTAATTTCATTTCTGGCGTATAGAGATTTTGTCAAAATAAACACGATAAGGTTTAATGTCTATACACTAGGGTTACTATGCATCTTCATCAATAGTAAATAAAAAATTAAAATATATAAAAAAACAGGAATGAGGCATGTGGTATCAGTATCACGGTGAACCGTACACGAAGTATTTATATGGTGTGAAATATTGAAATTTCATTAGGAATATTTGGATTAAGCCATATACCAACCATGCGAAGGCCTGTAAAAACTAAAAGAGGAGGTAACAATACGCATACACGTTTAAGAAAATGTTTTGCAACCATAGTTGATAAGAGAACACTTAATTTGGATTTCCCTACCCTAGAATTGATGCTAATAAAAGAATTGCAAGTGGATGTGGATACAACCGACCTAGAACTAACAGACATTCTACCCCTCATGCTGGCATTTTTTATGAAAAACTGGCAGGGTTGGCAGAGAAGTACGGAATATCATAGTGGTACACTAAATCTCGCAAAATGGTTTCAAAAATTCAAACGATACATCACAGTGCGAATAAATGTCCTAATCAAAAGTGAATTTAAGAAAGCCCAAAAAATGGTTGGAGCAGACCAGAAGGGGGAGAACAACACAAATAAGAGTTTTCATAATAGTGGAACTCAAACAGAGTATTCAGTTCCGAAAGTATTCGCTTCTTTTTCACTATCAATACAATGCCCGCCCAAGTCCCTCCATGCAATAGTTTTTACAGAATCTGGTGGTAAGATTTTGAGTTCAGTTAAATAGTCTTTGAATGTTATTTCAGAAAAATACACAAGTAATTTTTGGCATTTATGCCAAACAAAAAATTGAAATGTGAAGAGCAAATTGATAAATTTGCTTAGAAATGTTACCTAAGTACTTTGTTTGAATAAAATTCAGGTAAGTTTATCTAGCTTGTCAATAACAATTCTGGTAAATGTTAAAATCTCATCAATATTTTTTGAAAGACATTATTTTGTAGAGGATTTAATATTTCTTACTGTTTTTTTGAGTAAGTATATAACCTTCCACAATCTGAAAAATGAACAAAGGAAATTCAATAGAAAATCTGTTGGTGTAGTTGAGGGCAAACTGAAAAGTTCACCCCTAAAAGTTTCTGCATAATACAAACCACTGAAGAGTCCGATTAGTCAGTAACCTGTCGTTAAATAGCTTATGATAATTTCATCAATAAATTTAAATCCTACTCAAAATAATGCACAATTGAACTTAATACTCGTAAAAATAAAAACCACAAAATAAAGCCTTGGATAACTGATGAACTTGTCACATCCATTACAGGAGTTGAAAAATGAACATGAAACTTACAGAAATAAGGTGTTTGTTTGAAGGTGGTTGACAATGTTTCGTGGTGTATTTCATCAGTTCGGACTTTCATTGTCTAATATAATATAAACTGATTTGAAAACCATGAAAAAACAATTAAAAAAATCAAAAAGATTAATCGAAATTAACAATTTTATTAAACAAAAAACTGAAATTACAAAGAAATAACATACAACAACAACCAAACAAATAAAAATTTAAATAATAATGAAAGCTAAAAAAATTGATAAAAATTAAAAATATCATTAACAAAAAAATGAAAAAATAAAAATTAAAAGATTTCAAACCAAGTTATGTCACAACGTTTCGATTGTTAGTATCCACAATCGTCTTCGGGTGATAAATGGACTTAATTCCTCCGAGATCTGACTATTTATAGGTCATTCGAGTGCTTTCACCTATCCCCTCGTCTCTCTTTCCGCTTCATTGGTTTTGGCGGGAGATGACCGTTTGGTCGTTTTTCGCTTGATTAGAGGTTTCCATATGTTACGTATCTCTACGCTAGCTTGCCTGAATGCGCTGTTGGACAACATATACGCGGCTTCTTTGAATTTTCTCCTAAACCAGTGTTCCTCTTCGAGGATGATTTCAGCTTGAGCCCACTTGATGTTGTGTTGAGGAGTCCAAACATGCTCTGCTATTCCGGATTTGCTGGTTTCTCCTCGCTGTGTATGTTTCTTGTGCTCAGCAATGTGAACTTTCAATGGCCTCTTAGTTTCACCGATGTATGATTCTCCGCACTCGCAGGGTATCCGGTAAATGCAATTCTTGGAATCGCAGTCTGCGTTCATTGTTTGGTTGTTGTTGTATGTTATTTCTTTGTAATTTCAGTTTTTTGTTTAAAAAAATTGTTGTTTTTGGTTAATCTCTTTGATTTTTTTTCAGGGTTATCAAATCAATTTATATTATATTAGACAATGGAAGTCCGAACTGATGAAATAGAGATAAGGTAAACTAAAATTATAAAACAAACTAAAAATGTATTTTATAGGGGAAAATTTAATTCAACCAAGGATAATTAAAAAAAACATGCCAACCACAAAATGAAACCTTGGGTTTCATTCCCGAAGAGATTGTCTTTCAGATCAATCATGACTTGCACAGTTTCCAAACAGTTTCGGATGTTAGAACCAGAACAAACCTAATATGAACATTTTCACATTTACGTTCTCAACTTTAAACGAAAATGTCATGTCAGTCATGTCAGGTTTGTTCTGGTTCTCAGTTTGTACTGTTTCGAATCGTCCAACATCAGTGAGTCAGTTGTGGACTGAAAAGGTCAATGCGACAAAATATTCAGAATAGAGTTGGGTGACTGTTTTCTGACTGTTAGAAACAGTCCGGCCAGAGAACCAGAACAAGCCTGTCGTCACAAACATCAAATAACATTTCAAACGCAAATGCGGGCGCCATGTGCGTCGGACCTCATGATAACGGCGCCCGGTATCATCATCAGGTTTGTTCTGGTTCTGACATCCAAAACTGTTTGGAAACTACGCAAGACATAATGCGTACAAACAAAAATTCTCAAACAATCCGAAATAGTATATATGAAGAGATGAAGGCAAAAAAATGTTGATCACGTCTAATTTGTTATATATGCGAATCCTTGTAGTAAGTTCAAATGTTATCTAACCTCAATCATCAGTTATTTAAATCACATAAATAAAAAAACATCCTAGAAAATAGGTCAAACAAATTTCCACATGAATGCGCATGAGCAACGGAAACAGTTCTCAACAGTTCAGCCTCGAAAGAACGTCACAACCATTAGAAAAAGAGATTACTAGAAAAAGAGATAACTTGAAAAAAGTCAATTCACAGGTATTCTGAGGAGTTAAAAAATGAACATAAAAAGTACAGAAATAATGTGAACAAAATTATAAAACAAACAAAAAATGAATTTTAATGGGAAAAATTTAATTCATCTAAGGATAATAATAAAAAAACATAGCAAGTTATCACTGAAATAACGAAAAGGAATAAGACAAAGTTTTCAATTAAAAATGAAACAATGAAAACCCAGCAAGGAATTGTAACGAATAAATTAAATTCTTTTTCAATTATTACCTTGTGAACATATGTGTTGAAATGTCATAAAAAATTAAGAACGTTAATGCCTTACCTGATTGTTTTTTAAAGAACATATCTCTAAAATGCTCTAAGTTCCTCAAACCAGTACTTACCCAAAAATTGAAATTATTGAAGTTATATCAAAACTTAAAAATAACTTTTCCCCAGGTCCTGATGGCATATCCACGACTCTTATTAAGATATGCATAGGCATCTAATAATACCATTGGTTCATATAATTAGCCTAAATTTTAAACATGTTCTTATCAGTGGAAAGAATCATTGGTTACACCTATATACAAGGCAGGTAAACAAAAGTATTGTTGGCATCTATGGACCTACCTCGGTAATGAATAATTTTGTAAACATTTTTAAGAATATACTCAAGAAAATATTAACGGTTTTCATTGAAAAATATCAAGTTATAACTAACAGACAATTTGGCTTCATAGAGAACTCCAATATCGAAAGTGTAGTTCTTGACTTTGTTGAGAAAGCTATGGGAGCCTTTTGAAGAGATCAGAAAAGTATTGACAATCTTTCTTGATCGTGCCAAGGCTCCTGACAAAGTATCACATGACAAGCTCTTGAAGAAATTGCATTGTTATGGTATAAGAGGATCAACACTGCCTCTGATTCAAGACTACTTGACATGGACGATGCAAAAAGTCAAACTAGATCATGAAACCAGCAGTGACAAAGAAATGAAAATTTGGATTTCTCAAGAGACATAATTTCCTATGCTGATGACACAGCTATAGTTGTAGCTGGAAATTCTTGGGGCAAGGTGTACACAGATTCTGAAGAGATATTGAAGAATATCCAAGTATGGCTAAACTACAACTTAAGTTCAACAATCTGAATTTATAACATTTTCAATACTCCAAAACGACCAGCTTAATAAAGATACACTCTGTATAAATGAAGCCTACATACTCATTATTGTCTAACCTGGATTTTCATTGATAAACATAAATTTGAGCATGCACATTCAAGAACTGAAATGAGATCTATGCGAAATCTTTCACCCAAGCTGCCTCACTTAAAAAAAATCACACTCAATGGTTTATGCTTTGTTATTGTCCGAGGCTATAATATTCAGATAATAAAGAAACTCGGTGAATTCAAAATTAATATTAGAAATTTCATTTTTGAAAATAAAACTTCAATATTAGACATCTTCGGCTATTTCATCTATGGTAAATTAAATGTGCAGGATATATTTTTAACTGTCAGTTAGAGGAACAGAATAATCACAGCACAAGCATATCTTATGCTTAGGTGATTTCTGAGCCGCTGGCTGTCAATATATCACTAGCAATTTAGTTGATTACTGTAAATATCCATTTTGTGTTATGTTGAATGAATTGTTGAAATTGTATTCATAAATTTTCTGGCAATGCAGTTGTCAGTTGATTGCTCAAAACACCAACGCCGATATGAAAACTTGACAAGCTAACTTTGGTGTCACACCAATAAGTGGTTCCACTTATGTCTCGCTTGCTTTTACGCAGTTATTTTTATCAAATAGGTACTATTCTTGGCCAAGGACCCCCTGCTCGGTACTGACGATGCCGAACAGGTTGAAACAGATGTCTACCGGTGACTCTTAAATTGAAATCAGATTGGAAATGATCAGAATAGTACTGTTGGGTATTGTAATGAAGTTGCACTGCATTTAGTTTTGGAAAAACGTGAACATAAAACTTATTCATTCAACAACATACAGATAGAAATGTGAAATAGTAATTTAGTGTCTGTTCAGTTTGAATGTTTGAAAACTTCTCCCTGTTCTTCTCGTCGACCTCAGGGTTGTGCCTAGCATCCGGGAGGGGGGTGACTATACAGGGTGAACGCCTGAACATGGCCTCCACCTTGAAAGGACTAGCTTTGAATGTCTTCTATTGGGAGTGGACATATTCTGCTGATGGATCTCCTGACCATTCCAGTTGAAGTCCGAATGGTGGCAACGTGATTCTTGTTGAGTCGTTTTCCATTCGAGGCTTTGGTGAACTTTGGAAATAAACACTTTGCTCCATCTTTCCCAAAAAATGCTGAGTGATTTGCTGCATCATTTCATATGATGACAATTTGTTTTGTGGTATGGTTCTCAAATCTGCATCTGGTACCCCAATGAGCGATCTTCCGACTAAGAAGCGTGCCGGGTTAAGAGGTAGAGGATCTGATAGATTGCTTCGATTTGTGGTAATAAAGAATACTTCAAAAGTACGGTGAGCGTTTCCCGTGACTCGTTTCATATGATTTTTTATCGATTAGCCGGCTTCCCACAGACCTCCAAAATGCGGATAGTATGTCGGA